CAGTGATGGATCCCGGTGGGATTCTCCGTCAGACATGCGGAAATCTGCCAGCAGCTACTCACAGAACACACCCCTGTACCCCCTCCGCCAAAACCTCGCCATGCAAACCCAATGCAACGTACCAGGAGCAGACACAGACTAGGAGTCCCTTCTGTCCCATCTGTCCTGGGAACATCTCCCAGTGCCAGTGTGGCTGGGTTCCCCCAGCCCTGTGCCCTTCCACCCTGCTCTAATTGCCTGTTCCCAGCACGGGGCTGCATTTCCACGCCTGCTGCTCCAGCTCATCGCCCAGTTCTCCCAGTCCTTTAATGCCCACGGTGACAGCACGGTGCCCCAGCTCCCGCTGGGATCAGGGCTTCCCAGGGCGTGGGATGGGATAAGAGGAGCTGGGGAGATGCCAGTCAGAGCTGGCACACACAGTCCTGGCGCTGGAGCTGAACCAGGTGTTCTGATATTAGTCACTCTTGGGGAAAAAAAATCACGGAAACTTAATAAAAAAAATAAAAATTGCTGTGAGAACTGGTTGATATTCTTAATTTTGAGCCTGTGAACACCTAACTTGAGTTACATCCTTGAATTTTGTTTGTTGGTTTGGTTTTTTTGCTGCAACCATAAATGCCAGGTATGAATTTACTGAGGAGTAAGTGAGCGAGATGCAAATTCACCTGATTCCAGGGGCTGAGCCTTGAAGGAAACATGGAGTATTGTAAAACTTCACAATATCTGACTTGCCATTTGTGTAATGAGGGATCCCCTAACATGATCTGAGTGTTAGGCATGTAATTTAAATTTTACCTACCTGTGTAAGCTCGCTCAGTGGTTGTAACATGGCAGGGCCTGACAAGACAAGGGGAAAAGGTGTCTCCTGTGACCTGTCTCGGACTGAGAGAAGTTATCCTCTAAAAGTGTGTGTTTGTCTTCATGTTTAAGTGACCCACACAGCTCTGGCTGAGGCTGCAGATCAAACAAAATTGTCTGGACTGGCCTTAGATCTTCATGGACTCCATACTACACACAGCTGCAAAATGAGAAGGAAGAACGACATCTAAACAAGAGGCTTCTTGATTTAAGTTGTCTGGAGATGAATTGTGGAAAAAAGGCTGTCTTGGCAGACACAACAAGCCCGCAGTGAGAAAAGAAAATAAGAATTACTCTGGTAAATGAGACTCAAATAGGGGAAAGTGAATCAGCATCCGAGATTTATTTATGCTTTAAGGTGATTATCTCAGCTGCCTTCATTAACGTGGTTACAGCAGACTCTGCAAACAGGCAGCGGGGTAATTCTGTAGATGTCTGCACTTTCATTTCGCAGAAGACAGCTGCCTGGGAGAATGGGATTATTGGTGGGAGAGCGAGCACTGAAACTCCTCCTTGCTGATTCAACCAAAACAGGCCGTGGTGATTGTGCTCGGGCACAATGGGCAACGCAGCGGAAACTGCAAACGCAGGACAGACAAACTCCTTGCACGTGTGGATCCAGGGCTTCCATTCAGCATCTGCTTCCTCGCCACTAGCATCACTTGAAAAATAGCAGTTGTTTTGTGGGTTGGGGGAGTTTTTTTGGGATTTTTTTTTGTCTGGTTGGTTTTTGGTTTTTTGGGTGCAAAATTTATTAAAATTAAAGCTGGGTAAAAAAATTCCCTGTTATTGCTAGAGCACCTGCAGCGTAGGCAGAGCATGCAGGGGCAAAGGGGAGCACTGCTTGTGCCTCTCTCTTGCAGCAGCGAGTCCTCAAGAAGCCCAGAAAGCCCTTGAGGAATGTTTTAGGGATTCCCAAATACCCTGTGCTCTCCCAGCTGTATTCATGAGTCCTCCCAGCCCTAAACTGCCAAGACCAATGAGACTTGCAGCCTCTCTGTTTCTAGACAGAGAATTGCAGGAATTAACCAGGAGAAACACACAGGGAAGATACTTACCCACTGCAAGTTCCCACCTCACAGCACCCCAAACATGTCAGGGACACAATGATGGGGAGGGAACAGCTAAAAGGACACAGTCACCCCCAAGAGACAGGTTATTTTCTGCACATGCACATCTCTGCTGCACATGGCCCAAATCTCTCATGCCAAGCTGTGCCTGTGCAGACATTGTCACTGCTCCATGGGCTCATCCCCAGCTTCCCACTGGCCCCCCCTGGTTCTGCTCCCCCAGGGGCTTTTTCCCCACCTACCTTCTTCGAAAATGTAGTTATTGCTGAGAACACCTCCATGTATGTCATAGCATTGGGCTCCAGCTCTGGAGGAAGCCAAAAATTGTCTGATAAAATTGCAAGCCCCCCCACATTTAGCAAAGCAGAATGGTTGGCTATTTCATGGTTCCGTGGGTCTCCAGCTGCCAATTCTTCGTGCTCCTTCTTTCCCTGCTCTTTAAAAACACCTTCCTTTCCTCCTTAGAGCTCACCTGGGGCTTTGTTAGCCAGGAGTTACAGTCAGTGGTAGATGAGTAACTCACTCCTGCCTCTGTGCTGTCCGTAAATGAGTGTGGGCAGCTGCCCCCGGCTTGGAGAGCCCCCGCAGACTCCGGGAGTGGGAAAAGCGGAGTGAGAGTGGGAAAACGGAGCCTACTGGCACTTAAATCCCAGCGTTACTCTCTCCCAGCCGTGTACCACAAGGTGTCCCCAGCAGTACAGGCATTGCTGCGGGGTTCGGAGGTTCCACCTCAGCATCTTCTCCGGGGCTGGGGCAGGGCAGGGACCCTCACAGGCACAAGTACAACCTCTGTCCCTATTCTCAGCAACCCCCAGTCTTACCAGAGAGAACCAAGTCTCCATCCTTTGTTAGCTGAGATAATTGCTGAGAGCGAGCAATTTTGGCAAGCCAAAGCCAAGATTTTTCTTGCCTTTCCTTGTCTCTATTTCCCTGTGTTTTACAGTTTCCTCCTTCATTTTATTCAAACCAATTTCCTTAATAAGCATTTTTGAAACACCGGTCAGAATGAATTAACTTCTGAACCCTGTCATAGTGATGATCAGTCAAAATGGGATGTTTTTATTTATTTGGAAGATCAAATAGTAAAATGCATTTTAACCCCCAAGCCAGGGCTCAGCAGCCTGAGCTGACCTGCAGCCTGGCAATACAGATGGTTGTTTAAGTCAACGGGGTAATTAGTGAGTGACAGGATGACTCACACAAATTAAGAGCTGGGGGAGCATTAAATCACGGGGTTATATTTTCCCATTTTTTCATTTTGTAAAATATGCTGTGTTGCCTTTTCTGGTCAGTTTGGCACTGTACCATTTCCATATGCAAATACTATCTGTGCATATGCACACATATGCATATATGCAAATACATGCAGACTTATGCATTTATACTGATATTATTATTAACACACCGACAGCAAATCACTTGAGATCCTCCTGCCCATGCAAGGGGTGTGTGTGTGTGTGTGTGTATGTGTGTCTCCTAAAGCTATTCTCTTGCTTCACTTCATCCAAGGGCTCTGTGAGCAATTGCTGAAGCAAGGGGAAGAGCATATGTCTTGATTTCCACTGTATTGCACTGTGCATAACCACTGCCACTTGGAAAAAGGACTCGTAAAGACCTGGATTCATCTCACTTAAATGTGTCATTAAAGGAAAGCAGCCAGGAGTTGGTGCAGCCTGGCTGAGAGTGGGAGAAGGTGTCACCAGAGATCTGTGACAGTGAGGACATGGAGCAGTGAGGTGCTTCATCTTTTCATGGTGTTGCCAGGAGAGTCAGTGAGCCCTGCTCTGTGCCCTGTCTCTCTTCTGTCTCTGCCATGATTTAGGGCACGACTGCCAAATAAAAATCTCAAAAATCAAGCTTTTCATATTTATGGGGTAAGAAAACGATTCCTGGGTCTTTTAAATGATTCATGGATTAAATAAAATCAATGGATTTTATGGATTCATAAATAATAAAAATGCAACCAGACAGCAGCCATATCACACTTCCCTGCTTAGCCTCTGGCAGTTCTACATGTCCTGCCTGCAAACTCACCTGTCGGGCTGAGCCAGCCACATTTGTCCATCTCCCCATAAAGACCATGGGGGCTCATCCGTCCTGCTCAGAAGGCCTTTCCAAAACCTCCCTCCTCCAACAATAAGAAAACATCTTCAGATTTCCAATGGGAATTTATTCCTGGCCAAGATGCACCTTATTTGATCTCCTACCCATATTATCCTCTAACATAAATCATTCCCCTTCCTCCCACCCTGAATGTATTTATGAAGAGTAATCATATCCCCTCTTAACCTTTGTTTTTCTAGGCTAAACAAGCCAAGCTCTTTTAATCTCCTCTCCTAAGATAGGTTCTCTGTTCTGCTAATCACTCTGCCAGTCCTTCCCCGCACCTGTTCAAGGATAAATTAATCTTTTCTTTTTCCAAAGAGAGGTCCCAGAACTACACACAATATCCCACACGAGGTCATACCAACACTGGTACTGGTATTTCTCTGCATCTACCAAATAAATGCTTTGTTGCATGCGACTTTTTACACAGCAAATGGAAAATAGATGCAAATCCATAAGCTAATAACCAGAACACAACCTTAACCATAACAGACCCTTACTCAAGGAGACTGCTATTTTACTTGAAACAGGCATTCTGCTGTTTTGCATTTGTGGGTCCAGGTCCTTAGCAGGCCTTATTCAGTGGTTTTCCACATTTCATTTACCCCAGATCAGCATCAGGACCTTTGTATTAAAGGTGGCACTGAGGAAAGTCTTGTCTGTGTTTCACTCAGCCTTTACTCAGGCAAAATTCCCTTTGAAATCATAGCTGAGGGTTTGAACTACGAAGATGCAGAATCAAATGATGAAAAGCATTTTGCATTCGTCTCTTCTCTTTTCAAAATGATTTTCCAGTTTTACTTGAGGTTTAATTAAATTTCTGTGACCCAGGCAGGGAGTTCAGCCTTTCCTGATTAATGCTCTTTTAGGTGGCTCTGCTGATAAGAGTTTAGCATCAACAATTGAGCTAACAAGCCCCAGTGAACAGTTTATAGCAGGAGACTAATTCTATTAACACTTTGCAGTGTCAGGACTCCACTTTGAGCCCGCAGCTGAGAGGAGAGATGGGGGAGAGGGAGCAAATGCAAAATTTGGCAACTAAATCACCAAGATTCAGCTTCTTTGTGGGCAGAGCTCATCTGGAAAGTATTTTAGCTGACAACATCAGAATTTCACCTGTTCTTTTTTTTTTTTTTCCTCCTGGCTGATGCTCCACACTTTCTTGGCTCATTGTGATAAGGACTGGGAATAAGGAGTGGAACTGAATGGCAGCATTGATAAGAGAAATGAAAGGGTAATGCGATGACATGATACTGGAGTAGGGCCTTTGCAGTTAGCCCTGCCTGTGCTGGATGTGTACCAGGGTAAAGGATGGTCAGGACAAAGATGCTTGTGCTGACAGTTCCAAATTAGTCTGCTGTGAGAGAAAAATTGAGGTTAATGCTCTGCAGAAATGTTTCTTTTACTTTTTGGGTGACAATAGAAATATCTTGCAGGTCTGTTATGATTCACAAGAATTTTCTCTTTCTTTCCTTCTCCTCCCTACCCTGATAAAAGTACCACTAAAATCTCACTCTGTCTATGCTAAAGCACAGCCTGATGTCATTAAAACGCAGTGCAAAGTCTTGGCCAAGATATTGCGGTTGATCCACCTGTCCAGAGCTTCTCATCTCCAATACCTGGAGACCCAGCTTTGGTCTTGCCTGTTTTGAGCTGCCCACAAACCTCATGCAAGAATCTCCTTTGTGGGAGCCTGCAGAAGCCAGAATATTATTTTGAGGCCATTGTTTTCCTTTCTCCCCTAGACAGTCACCAAGGATAACTTGAGACATGCAGACCACCTGGAAGTTACCTGAAAACAAGGTGCTCCCTGGATTGGCAGCAGAACTCCAGGCACACCAAATGCACGAGGTGAAAACCAGTGTCCATCACTGCATGACCCACAGGTGCTTATCATTGCTTCTCCTGTTGGTGGAGAGCACAGATGCCTTTCTCCATCCCTGGCCACCATCTCTCCTGTTGACTTTTCTTTCTTCCTCAAGTCACCTATTTAGGACTCCCACTCATTCCTCCTTTGCCTGGGATTGGTCCTGTGGCTCTGCAGCTCTCTGAGGCTGTAGGAGGATCAGGGATACTCATGGGCAGGGGGCTCTTCCAAGGCTGGTGGCTGAGTAAGGAGTCTGGGCCCTTCAGGGGAGCTGTGGCTCCATCAAGACAGGAGCCATCCAGCCCCCTTCAGTACTTTCCGAGCTGTTTCTTCTGCCCTTCTCAGGGACAGGGATGGACAATAAGTGCTGCTGGTCCTCCCCAGGGAGTCTGCAGTCAGGGGCCATCCACAGGGCTGCACCCCTGTGTTCATCTATGCTGTGGTCTCTGTCCTGTGCTCACAGTATGTGCCCATTTTTATTTCATTTATTTTACAAAACAGGCTAAAGATTCGATTAAATTATTTAGGCAATTTGATTACCTTCGCTGTCAAGACAGTCTTCGGGAAGGATTAGCAGTGTCTCAGCCCCTCAACAGGAGCTGGAGGGGGGAACATGTCCCACATCACACACTGCCTCCTGCTCAAACCCTACCCCCTGTGCGCTTCAATCAGATGACAGCCCTTTGCTGTCCCTGGATGAAACCCCCGACAAAACATGCCGAGGGCTCACAGCCTCCCTCCCTCACTCTCCCCCCACGACTTTTGCTACAGCATCACTGCAAATTGTACTTGTCAGCGGGGGATCCCCCTCATCAGGGGACTCCAGCCATAATCACCGCAAAGCGGATGTGTGGATCTGAGTCCGGGATGCTCCCCAATATCAGATCACAGCAGGGACTCAGCTAATACCCTTGTTCCCTCTCCTGAAAACCTGAAGACCCACTGAGAAATCCTCGATGAGGGGAGGCTCAGACAGCTCTCCCGACCCCTCAGGACAAGAGGCAGCCCAAGCACCCGTCCCCCAAGGTGCTGCCCTCGTGATGCCGCGGGGGCCGCGCTCGCCGTGGGAGCCACGTCGTGAGCAAGCGGCGAGCGTCGACAAAGATCCTCCTGCCTTCATCTCTACAGCTGTTGGGAATGGTCTCGTGCACAAAGGGCAGTGTCCTCATTAAATTTCGCGGAGGGTTGCCATGTGGCCAGCTGAAATTCTGTTTTGTTTTATTTCGGTAATATATTCACCACCTCCGAACGTAATGGAGTGACAGATGGGAGCTGGGCCCTGGCTTTCATGGGAAAGGCTCCACTCAGCAGGGAAGCAGTAAGTTTCCCACCTAATCTTCTGTAACCTTCAGACTGCTAACAACTGTAAGAAGCAAAGCAATGGGTAGTTATTAAATTAATGACTTCATCCCCAAGCCGGTAATAAATATTTTATAGTTTTATCTCTCCACCCTGTAGACTGCTCTAGACAGACCAGACTGTTTATTAATCTAGCTTCTGGATTTATGTTATTTAATTGCTAAACAACCTCAGCGTGGTTGGGCTGGATTATTAAAGGTTGGAGCCTGAGAAGGAGTCCCCTAGCAAATGGCAAAACCTGAGGAGCTGATCCTTTATGTTGGACTTGACTCATCAAAACCAACTCTCCTAACTCTCCTGCAGTGCTAAGGCCAGGTTAGCCTCTGTTTGAGTCCAAACTGTTTGGCCATTGCCTTGCATTCAGCTTAGGTGGGCTCTGGGACTCGTGAGTAAGGAAGAGACAAGTTTTGGCATATCCTGGCTTCAATAAGGACATGCTGGTGTTAACCATGGGCATGGTGTTGCAAGGGCAGACATCATCTTAGTGTGGACAGGTCTTTCTGGGGCCTTCATGCTAGTCCTGGAGCTCAGGCAGAGCATATGGCCTTGCTCCATCCCTTCATGGCTTGTGTTCCTTCAGATCCTCACAGATAGTCCCTGACATTCAAACAAAAGAGCATTGCAGTTCTAGAAATGAAAGCAGGCTTAATGGGTGTTATACTTCCTTGCTGACAGGGTCGAAAATGTCTTTAAAACTGATACTACCATTTTTACAACAATTGGTGATTTATTCATCCCACTGAAAGACAGGGATGAAGGCATCCGGAATAACTAGAGCTATTTGTCTGAAGAATGCATGCTTTCCTACAGCCTCAATCCCACGAGCCCTTCTGTACAAAGCAGAAGGTTGTTTCAGGATATATCTTCTCATAAAAGTATAGAAGTGAGTCTGTTAACAAGTGTGGGCCAGAGCCTTTGATCCAACTAAATTGTGCTGGAGCAATTTGCAGCTTGGGGCTGCTCCACTGGCTGCAGTGCCATCTCCAGCCCATCTGATTGCTCCCAAGCCTCAGCATTGTCATTCTCTGGTCCAAGGGGGAGTGAATTTGATGATAAATAGTTTCTCTGAAGAGCAAAGTTTCCTTCTTGCCCAGGTAACCCGATAGAGAACAAGGCAACACTTCCTGACCACCCAGCTGTGTGTTTTTCAGGACCCCTCAGCTGTGGGAGGAGGGTGAGGTGGGTTGAGCCTTCACCCAGAGGAGCTGTGAGGTGGGGGAAACAAAAGTCAGAAAATATGCATGAGGCTGGGAAAGAGTCCCCTTTCTGTTTATAGCTGTTTAAGGCCAGAGCTTGTGGCTGTCTGGGAGAGGCCAGGTCAATGCTGACAAGTGGAAGGTACCTCTGGAGGAATGGATCATTAGCAGCTCTTAACAATTAACAGCGGCATCAGTGAGGCCAAGTGACCCTCTCTTTGGTCAATGGTTTATTGACATGTTTAGAAACAACCCTATGCATCCTTGAAGCCAGAGACCTGCTCTTCTCTGCCGTTCAGCTCTCACCCTAGGCCTGGTGGAGGAGGCTTGAGAGCTCTCCCAAGCACACGTATAAACTGACAGTGTACCATCTTAAACCAATTCAATTCCCTTCCCTGCGATAAAGGACGCTGGTTCTGAGAAGATAACATCTCACAGTGATGGCTCCCCGAGCTGCAATTGAGCACAAATCCAACCGCTCTGTTGTACAGCTCAGCCAATTCGTTAAGGAAGGACAAGCGAGCTCATCTATTAACTCCATCATCATAATCAAATATTGGCACAAGGAACTGCTCAGCAGTGCAAAGTCGAGCGAAACCCCCATAAAACAATTATGTGCCCTTCAGGAAAACAACGTGCCAGCCAGTTGAGGGGAACCTTTGCATGGGTTGGCCTGTTTTTCTCCTTTGTGAAGGGGATAAAATCCCATCAACTTTCAAGTTAGGCCCAGCAAAGCCTCAAAGAGATCTTGTCCTTGGGGCTCCTGGGAAAGCTGGGGCCCATCCCCAACAGTCCCTGCTTCCAAGGGTGTTTCTTCTCAGACATTTGGGACCACACAGCCAGGTCATCCAAGCAAGTCTGTCCTAAGCTTCTGTCAAATTTCCTGCCCCAGGATAGCTTGCAGATATCCAGTGAAGTGAGAAAAAGTTTCCAGTGAACACACACTGACATGGACATTCTTTAAGAAATCCTCCTACCCAAAACTTTGCTCCAAATTTTTCTGACTACAGTTCTGGCTGCATTTTACTCAGCCCTTCACATTTGTGCCCGTGGTACAGACACTTCCTCCTGCTATAACTCGACAGTGCTTGTGCCTCCATGCAGGGACAGACAGGGAAGTTCAGTTCAGTTAATCAGACAATTGAATTTCTTGGTGATGAACCTGCCTGAAATTCCCATTTGACCCAATTCACTCAGCTCCAAATGGCCTTAATGTGATTTACCTTATTTCACCTTGGGAGCTCCAGCTACAGCAGAGCAAAACTGAATTATGCCAACTTCAGAAATTATGTTTCCAACACAGAGATCAGTGGAAAATTCTCTTCATTGCCACAGCTTCAAAACATAAACTCTTACCAGTGGAAAGGCTCTATTCTTCCAGGAGGGGAATCTGCAAAAATCACTGTCAGGCTGATATAACTGAGCAAATCTTATTGATAAAAACCAGCCATCTCCCAGCATTTGAGCTAAACCTCAGAGCTCAGTTTGGTGAAGCTTTTTTTTATAAATATGAGAAAAGTGTCTGTCTCTGTGTCCTGTCCCAGATCTGGCATCTCCTGTACTGCTCCCGATGGCATCCCCTCTGCTCACACACTACCTGTGGGAACACAAAGCCACAAAATCATGAAATGCTGGAATAGTTTGGGTTGGAAATGACCTAGAGCTCATTTTGTTCCACCCCCCTGCCATGGGCAGGGACACCTTCCACTAGACCAGATTGCTCCAAGACCCATCCAACCTGGCCTTGGACACTTCCAGGGATCCAGGGGCAGCCACAGCTTCTCTGGGCAACCTGTGCCAGGGCATCACCACCCTTATAGGAAAGAATTTCTTCCCAATATCCCATCCAACCCTACCCTCTGTCAGTCTGAAGCCATTCCGTTTTGTCCTGTCATTCCATGCCCTTGTCCAAAGTCCTTCTCCAGCTCTCTTGGAGCCCCTTTAGGCACTGGAAGGGGCTCCAAGATCTCCCTGGAGCCTCCTCTTCCCCAGGCTGAACAACCCCAGCTCTTCCAGCCTGTCTCCAGAGCAGAGGTGCTCCAGCCCTCCTGGGAATGTGGGGTTTTGATTCTCCCCATCATGGCACTAGTGGGATTTTAGGCACCTGCGTGGCTGGATGGTGACAGCTCCTTATTCTTCAAAGCCTTCAGAGATGCCAAACCTAAATTCCCATTAAATCCTCCAGCTTAATAGGCGGGAAGAGCCAGGTGTAAAGTACGCAGTCCCTCAGCAGAGCTCCAGGTCAGCAGGGACATGGCAACCCCACAAGCCACAGTGAAGGACAAGGACAAAGCCCTGTGGGGACACATCAGGAATATTGGCAACAGCTCGAAGAAAGACCATAGGAACTAAAGTCACAAACAGAACCGGGTTTTATTACGAAATAACCCTGCCAGTACATAAGGAAGTTCTGTCTGCAAAATACATTTCCTGAGGAAAGTAGATCACAGTATTCGTTTTCACAGAATAACATGTAGCCTGCTATAACTTTCAATGTGACTCTTTATTATTTAAATATTAACAGTATTCCTTCACATAAACAAGTACTCAGTCATCACATAACCAACACACAAACGACAAAATAAATATACAACAAGAGCACAGTTCATTTTTTTCCCCGACTTAAATATTAAATAAATAATAAATACAGAATTTTCATTTCCTGTTATCAGTGCCTGAAACAATATGAATGAAAAAGAAAAGAAAAACTGAAAAAGTCTCTCTTCCCCCCGGTGCCCCTGCCCCTGCAAAAAAACAAACCAAAAAATTATCAAAATGTCTCAGTTATAAAATATCTTTAAAAAAATTCCCATCCTTAAAAGAATAAATAACAAAATATATAAAAAATAACTTGGTTGCATCAAAATTGCAAGTAGGAGTTGTAGATAGGGGTTTTTTCTTTTTTTTTTTTTTTTGAATATCATTTTTTATGGTCAAGAGTTTTAATTTTTAACTTTTTTTGCTTCTTTTATCTTCATTTCTATGGTGCAGTGTCCAGTTTAAAATAAGTATAAAATTAATAAATAAAAAAGTTAAATAAATAGCAAAAAGTTAACATAAGGTGTTGTAAATATAAATTACATACATCTTGCCAAAATTAAATAATTTACAGGATAATTAAACTAACTACTTTTTTTTTTCTTCTCTTTCTTCCAGTAAGTGCAATTTCTCTACTTTTAAATACTAACTGAATTGCAGTCACAATCAATTTGGACTCTATTTACATGTTAAGAACGTTGTGTTTTTAACACCTCAAATTTTATATTCTTTTTTTTTTCCCTTTCTTTTGTATTTTTGCACTTGGAATGGGTTCTAAAATAAGTGAACTCATGGAGTCTGATCCTGCAAACACTTAAGTATGGGAGCAAACCCACCCAGGCCAACTGCCCTGTGGAACTCAACACGGAACCGACACAATCGAGTCACTCATGGGCTTAGAGGCCGGATCCAGTGGCCACGGTAGCCACTGGGACTTTCCACTGACTTCTCCAAAGCGCAAATTACATCCTAAACATCTGCAGGATTCGGCTCGAAACAACACCACAGTCTTGCCTTTAGTAGGGGCCAACAAAATCCTCCCCAGCTCTACCCACCCCGCTGCCGGGAGGGATGCGGGATATGGGATGCAGGATGCAAGATGCACCCACGCTGGGACCCCTCGGGGGGGTTCTGCCCCATGGAGAGCTCCGGATGGGAGCGGAGGTGGGGTGACAGCCGGCCCTGGCGGTGGAGCGGGGGCTGCAGAGCAGCGGCACAAAGACAATCATAGGGTTGTTCTTTAAGTGCACAGTGGGCTGCGTGTACCGAGCTGCTTACAAAATGCTTCTTTGGAAGAATACCCATTACCTGAATACTCTTTTTTCTTTTGTTTTCCTTTTTTTGTTTTTCCCTTTCTTTTTTTCTTTTGTTTTGCAGAATGGCGCTTGCGCTGTGATTTCCCCTCAAATCCTAGAACACCAAACCAAAAAAAATACTCATTGCCCCGTGGATACCTGTGAGAAATCAACTCCCGATTCACGGTGTGTAAGCACTTTGCTGGCCATCAATTAACATCTCTCTTTTTGTCGGTTTTTGCCTCTTTTGTTTTGTTTTGTTTCGTTTTGTTCATCGCAATCTCAACCGTTCTCTGGCATTGATGTATGATCTCTGGACTGGCAGTACTGCGCCACTGTAAGGATGATCACAATAATGAAAAGAACCAGAACTGTCATCAAACAGACTTCCAAAAAATCATATACACCGGACCATGACACATTAAAGAGTTCCTCTGTATGAAATATCTGGAATTGGCCTATTCATAATAGCTATTCTCATATTTAAGACAGACAAAGGAATACTGTAGTTGCAAACTCCAAAAGCTTCCCTGAGAACCTTTTTTCCATTGCGCTTTCCACTGGAGATCCAGAACTGCTCTTCAGATTTCTTTCAGAAAATAAAAATAAGCTACTTTATAATACTTCAGAGTTCCCATGCCCAGTGGATATCTGAACACTTCGGGGTTGGGAGGCCCAGCACAGGTTCAGATTTACAGGTAGCTTGCAGCTCCAGCACTTGTAGCAACATAGAACATAACTCATGTGTGAGTAGGTGATCTGGACATACGACCATAGACAACATGAGGGTTTAAGCCAGTCATACACTAGTCTTGGATCAGACAAGACCCTGTTCTTGTAATGTTTTAACCCTTGGATCAACTCTGCAAGAGCATGGCAACTCATGAAAGTTGCCTGCTCTTCACCTGCTACCAAGTCCCACAGCCTACTGGAGAATTTAACCTTCCATCCTGATCTACCTCGTGGTCCAGGTAGAAAAAACCCCACTTTTCTCAAGAAGGTCCAAAGTTAAGTAAACGAGAACATTGAGTTCGATCAGTTCCATGTCTCAGAAATGGCCTCTTGGTTACATTTTGGTCCTTTTTTTTCCTTTTTTTTTTTTTCTTTTTTTTTCATTCATTAAACAAGTTTTCTAACTTGTAAACCTGAATACTTGGAGGGAAAGTTCCATCTTACAGTCTGTTTGCTTGCTCATGTCCGTCCCACGGCACTAAACCTGGATGCCCTTGACGGCTTGCTTGATGCTCTCCAGCAGGTCCTTGTTCTCCGGGTTCTGGTAGCATTCCTGGTTGGTGTACATGTCTGTCAACGTGTTCACATATGCATCAAAGTTCTGCTCACTAATTGGCTCCTGCAGACAAAAAAAAAAAACAAAAAAACAAATGAAAGGGTTAGTAGAAGCGCAGGAAGAAGCTGAAACAATTCTTTGCAATAAACCATCTGCATATTTTATTGTGGATGCCTGAAAGTGTTCAAGGTCAGGTTGGATTGGGCTTGGAGTAACCTGGTCTAGCAGAAGGTGTCCCTGCCCATGGCAGGGGGTTGGAACAAGATGAGCTTTAAGGTCCCTTCCAACCCAAACCATTCTATGATTCTATGTATGTACTGGCAATCAAAGGTCTCCACTTCAGAGCCTTTTTGTGTGTGGTGCTGTACCTGTGGGAATCTCATCATGCAACCCCTGATCCTGCCAGATCTTAACTGGATCCTTAATTTTATGGATTGGCCTTGTGGAACTATTAACAGCATCAGGTTAAGCACATTCAGGCAGTTTGACAGGCTGGAGGCTGAATAAAGCCATGGAAATGAAGAGCAGGAGAACAAGAGGACTGGTGGAACATCACAGAAGGAACCAAAGGCAAAGTCAGGACAGAAGTCTGGCCACCTTGAGCTTACAGCTGCCCACACCAGCACTCTGCTGCAGTACAGCTTCTGCTTTTGAGGGGCGTTGTGGAAACCTTGCAAATATCTCATTTGGAGTAATGGGGGGAAAAGAAAGGGAGAAGGAAGAAAAAGAATAGGAATAAAATGAGCATACAGGTCTCATGGGCATTATTTAATTGGAGTTGCCTGAAACCTTGAAAAAATATTTGCTGAACAGTTTATTTGACCTTTTTGTGTCAAATACTTTACAAAAAAGCACTCAGCGAGCGGTTTTCTGCCAGTTAGGCAGCTGGGTGAATACTATCCAAAACTGCTCTGCTGGAGGATGGCTTCTCTCCAACGAGACTGAATTTAAATACAACCCCCAATGAAAAGGATTCCCAAAAAAAAAAAAAAAAGGATGGCAGAAAAAAATAAATCAAAAGCTCATTCCTCTGATCATTGCAATGGTCTTTATGAGTTGTAAGAGGAAAACTTCCTCAATAACATGAGCCCCCCCTCCACACACCTGGTTTTGACAACAGTAATTACATTCCTGGGAATAGAGCGAAGGTAATTAATAGCCTTTTGTGGTTTTACTATTTTAATGCAGTCTTTTCATTTCTCAGTAACTCTACAGTAACATGCTGTGGGCTGTTAGACCTTGTTAAATTAAACAAAATACATTCTCTTTAAGAATGCTATTCTTTGGCTGCCAGCTATTCAAAACCGAATTGAAACTACCTGCATTATAATAGGAGCTCTAAGATCTTTCTGACGTTGAAATCCAATCCCTCCTGATCTCTGCTTGTGCTGTCTTAGCCTAAAAGGCACTGGGTGCCCTTGATAAAGTTTCCTATTTTGCGATAGTGCTCCCAGATGTAATGAGACAGAACAATAGATACAAAGGGAGATCAGCAGAAAATGACAACAAAAGGGAGATATAATGCAAGCTTCAGAGATAAGGGAGAAGTACTGATCTTATAAAGGACACGTAGGTGTATGGAGAGAAATTCTCCCAGTCTTTAATTGTGAATAAGCCTTATTGTGAACTGGGTTTGGCACAGCTCCCTTGATCACACCGGCTGGGGCGAGCACTGTCAAAGTTCCTTACCATGTGCGGAAGGCGGATATTGGCAAGACTTTGGATTAGAGCCTGGCTCAACCCTGAGAGCTCCAGGAACAGGGCTTCGTTTTGCTCCTCTATTATTTTGTTTTCCTCCTCGATGTTCTTCAGGTTCTTCTCCATGGTGGAGATCTGCAGAGCAAGGAGCACGGCAGGGTTACCAACCCTCACGGGTGGCACCCACCACCACCCAGGGAGGGGCTTGGCCATGCCCCCGTGGGCTTGGGGGAGCATTCAAGCACACAAACCTGTGACTGTAGTTTCACCATGGCTGCTTCCATCTCAGAGTTGGACTCGTTCAGCTCACTGATCTCCTTGTTCAGCTGCTTGATCTCTTCATCGTTCTCCAGAACTGCAGGAGGGAAGGTCATGGACAGTCAGCAAATGCTCTTGGGAAAAGCAAAATGTTGGGCTTTCTGCTGAGCCCATCCTGCTGCATAGACATCTCCACTCCCAGCGTCCTCGGGTCCTCACCTTGGCTTTTACATCCTCTAAACGGGATGCACATCTCACCTGCATTTTTTTTTACCTTTATTTTTTTTTTTTAAATTAAAGTTTGGATCATCACAGTTCAATGATACTTGGATAGGTCAATATGTAAATGCAAAAGCAAAGGGCAGCTGAGCGGCTGGAGTCCAGCACATCCCCACACCCAGCAAGGCTGCTTGTCCTGAACAATCAGGTCACCTCTCCAGTCCTGAGTTTGGAAAGATGCCATTTAAAAACCTAATGCATGTCTTGATTAGAAATTACGAGGTTCATAAAAAAAAGCAATATTTCCAGAAGAGTGCAGGTATTTATAGGTTCCAAACTATATAAGTACTCAAGTTCAAGGCTCAAACCTTATCAAATACCACAGAGATCTCAGTAATAGCACTGGAAAAGCAAAGTGCCATCGCTAACAAAATTCCAGATCCAGAAATATCACAGTATTAAAAGCCCTGAATAGGTGAAAATTGCTGAATGACTGCAAGGGATTTGTAAAAATGCCAGTGAATATTTGAAAAAAAAAATCTCAATTTCAGCATTAATTCTTTTGCCTTCTTTATTGTCACTCCCTCAAAGTGTGTGCTCAGGGAGTGGGGCTGGTACCATACCATCCCCAGCACTCAGAAAACCCAAGGAATGGATTTTCATAGCACATGACATCTTTGCAAATCTGTGGCCAGATTTCAGCTGTTGAAACCTCCTCAGTCTGCAAAGAAGAAGATCTACAGGCTCAATACCCCAACACACCTGCAAGGCAAAGGAGTGAAAATCCTTACCGTCGCTGGTCTTGAACTTTGTGTTGAGAATTTCATCCCCTGAGAGTTTTCCTTTCTTCCCAGCAAAAGTAGCTCTTGGACACCCTGACAAACTGAAAAACAAGTAAAGATGGGTTTCATAAACTCTCAGTATTTATAGGTTCTTGTGTTCCCAACAAGAGCACACACCATTTGGTGGAGTTCACGCTGTGAGACAGTTCTTCTAAAAGCTTTTTATGGTACAGGGGAAATTGCTTTATGAATAATGCCACAAAACTCCCCATTTGTAAAGTGAGAGCAATTTTCTTTAAGCAAGGATTAAAAAACACGTTGTTTCCTAAAAGACAGGGTACGCCAGGTGAGGAAGGCGAGATGAGTCTCGCTAGCTTGGGCATTAAGCCCCCTGTTCGTGGTGCTCAAGTGCTTTTCTAACATGCTAATGGAGATTTAGATTAGATACCTACAGGGAGGTAGATGAGTCCACAGCAATGCTGTCACACTCACACTGATTTCCAGTTCTGATTTACCTTCTGTGAGTGAGGAAGCTCCCGTTGGCATGGCCAGAACCGTCGCAGCCTGGGGTAGGGCAGGTTGGGCCTTCATTCTTCAGTGACTTCCAGGAAAACGAGGAGCCATTGAGTGATCCTTCCTTCTGCCTGCGGGCTGCGAGAGGGCACCCTGACGCACTCCGGTGAGAGGCGTATTTGCCACTGATGTGCCCGAGCCCAACACAGCCAGGAACAGGACACCTGGGCACAGGGAACCACCAGAAATTATGGCGTGGCCATAAAGAGGAAGGAGCGGAAGGAACGGATAAAGATGTGAGGAAATTAGGGATGAGCAGGAATGGAGGAGCCTTGGAAGAGAGCATTTGCATTTGGGTCTCGTCTCAGGTTTATGGGGTAGATACTTAGTTGATGGAAATGGCAGATGGGAAATTAAGAGCTACGACTGCTCCTTCAAAAGAGTCAAAGAGAACCAAGGAGAATTCTGCAGAAGGAAAGAATGTGGAGGTCACATCACACACAGCAAAAGCAGGTCCCAGTGGAGTCAAAAAACATTTGTTTGCTGCCTCACTGAGGGCAAAGATGGTGGTTTGGACTGCAAGACACAGGATCCTGAGATACTGCGAAGCTGACACTCTCACACTGAACCATCACAGGTGTAAAGCCAGCTCTGCACGGTGCCACTGCTGAGGAATGCAGGGTCATCAACTTTATCACCCTACACTAGCACAATCAACCGGATCTAGGAGCACTGTCTGTGCCCATGGGGACACAGCTCTTCCCTGTGAGCCAGTCCCTGAGCCAGGAGCTGCTCAGGCTGTGACCTGTGCATGAAGAGCTGTAAACCTGCTCCTGCCAGGAGGGTGTCTGAGGAGCTTCTGAGCTTGTACCCCAGCAGACAGGACGAATCACTAGGCCATCACTCAGCCTGGCATGACCTCACTTGCCTCCTCCTCCTCCTCCTCCTCCTGGTTCACATCCTGCCTCTGTGGAAAGATCAACCCACGCTCACAGAGGGATAAAGTGGGAATTACCATCAAGGCAGCACATGAGCCCTCCTACCCCCACACTTCTGCTGCTGCTTATGGACGGCTGAAACCCACGGGAGCTGTGAGGAGTGTCGTGGAAGCACCAACACAACTTGTGCTGTTGGCAAGCAGGCGAGTGGCTCTCCAAAAGGCACCTCTTTCCTCCCTCCTCACAGCCCCCCCACCCTAATGGCATTCTCACTAAATCCAGCCAGCCCACAAGTCCAGTGCTATCTATCAGGATTTCTGCTGTGGTTTGCATTTGTTTAAAAATGCTTGCCAATTATAAATACAGTTAAAAGTTTATTACTCAGGGGAGGTTGCTCTAAAATAAGGGAGGTGGAAGTAGGTAAGAAATGCCAAAAATAACCCCCTACGTCCTCAGTATGGAAGCAATTAGGGACTTTGAGGCTCCCCAGCAAAAATATCCACCGAGCTGCTCCTGAAAATCGCAAGCTGCGTTTCACTACAGAAATTATTACCCTGATTGTTTACATTCTGCACAAAAGGGAGATGACAGCAGAAGGGAGGGGGGCTCTACACCCAGCCTTTCCCCAAGATAATTTGAAAAATGCTGATCTCGATTTTAATCAGCTGCAAATGCAGCACAATTCACTTATAATATCCCTGCCAGCAGGATCCTCAGTAAATTCATAACATCATTGCTTTTATATGATCACGAGCAAATTACTGAATCCTCAGGAGGAAAAGAAGAAGGGGGGGGAGGAAGGAGAAAGAGAGAAAGAGACAAACCCCAGGATTTAGTATGCAGCCATTATGGCCCAACCGTTACATATTTTACGCCGTTAATTTAAGTTTTATTACATTTTCATTGTTAAAAAATAAACCAGAGCCTTATTGTGCAAACCAGCTGTCTTGGACATTTTTTTTAAATTATTTTTTGTTAATTATTATTATTTAATGGAAGCACCAGCAGCGTTTGATCAATTAGACACCTGTGGATGCTTCCATTCTACGCCAGGGCTCGGCTGAAGGTTGAGGTGATCTGTTCAATCACGTCTGCAGCAAATTACTTGAAGGATGAACAGCAAAAACAACAGGGACTAAATGACTTTCTCCTTGGTGGTGATGTGCAAAGCTCGGCCGGGTTCCAAGTGGCGCTCGGTGCAGACGGAGGGTGGATTTAGAGCCAAAGCTCCTTAACGCAAACCGGCACCGGGCACACCTTGCTGTGGGCGGTGGAACACCCTTCCCACGGGATGGGGGAAGGTGGCAGCGATGGATTGTTGTACCATGTTGCTTTGCACATCTCAGAGGAGCTTCTGTTCCTCCTGGGTGTGCTGGAGAAGCCAGGGTTACTGCCTGTGCTGTGGGATATTAAGGAATGCCTTCACCTCCTGCTCTGTAGAGACCCTCAGATCCCACCCGGCACTGCCTGCCCCAGTGCCCACAATCCCACCAAGACCAGTCTGGGGATGGACAGTATCAGCTTTCCAGGAGTCAGGAAATCCAGTTCTGGCAATGCTCCAGCCCTATTTGAAGCTTGGAGCCCAGAGAATCTATGGATGTCCCGCCCCTGGAAGTGTCCAAGGCCAGGTTGGACGGGGCTTGGAGCAACCTGGTCTAGTGGGAGGTGTCCCTGTCCATGGCAGGGGGTTGGATGAGATGGGCTTTAAGGTCCCCTCCAACCCAGTCTATTCTAGGATTCTATGATTTCTTACCAGTTTAGCTTCCCAGCATTTTCATCTTTAGTGTGAACTGGAGAGAACCCAACCCCTGATAAGGATGCTGGTGGGACCATCATTCTGCTGTGGGAGTCCTGACAGCTCATCCCATGTTCCTATACAAGCCCCAGCTGCACTATAAAAACACAGCCATATAAAAGTCCCTTTTCTCCTTGCGCTGGAAAGTTATTTTTTTTGCAGAGAAAATGCACTGGTGAAACTGCTTGGCATATTCCTGCCTGGTCCTGTCCTGAATGGGAAAGGTACAGATGAGAAAAAACACAGCTTCCCCAGCCCCACAGGGCACGTATCCCTGTGGAAAACATGGATAGGGATGACCTCCCACACCCCCCTCCAACCACAGTGAAAGCAAAGGTACAACAGCCAGCAGTTGCACAACAACAATTTGCTGCTCGTCCTTTCCTTCCCTGTGTCTCTGGTTAATGGCCCAGCATTGCAATGCCACCAGCAACTCAGTGTATTTGAGCCAAAAGAGGATTTTTCCCACAGATTCTCAAGTAGGTTGCTTAATTTTTAATAAACTCTGCTAACTCCTGCTAATTATCACACGGCTCATTTAACTGGGAGGCTTTCCTTCCTGTAGACTGAGGAGGAAGAACAGAGCAGATGGCTCAAATATCATCTTTTTCTGAAAGGTCCTTATGCCCCAGCAGGCACATCTCAGCTTCCTGCAGCCCCCACGGGATACTTCCACACCCACTGGGTCCTGCTCCAGCTCAGCCTCTGCTCCAGGACAAAACCTGGGCACAAAGGTATTCACCTCTGATCCCCTGCAAAGGCAAAACCAGCCCTGGGGCTAAAATAAGTTAAAAAAATCCATTTGGAGACAGTCTGATGATCCAAAGGGGTTTGGGCAGATATGCCAGCACTCATGGGCAACGGGAATCTCTTGGAGGGAGTTGATAATTTTTCCCATGTTTCTTTTTACCCCCTTTCACCTGCACTTTCTAGGTGAGTGGACAGGCTCCAGAAAGGCTGGGGATGCTCTGGGTTAACAAAAAACAAGATCCTGGAGTCAGTGCTGCCTTTGATGTCCTATAGCTGTATAAAGGGTTGAGACACTGACCTCAAACACCACATCAGGCCATGGACACTTAGCCTGTGATGCTTGGACTTCTTAGAAGTCAGGCCAAATGGATTTCACAGCTCATGAAAATTCCTGAGGTGCACTAAGGGATTTCAGATCTCTATTCCCTGAAGGAATAAACCTCCTGGGACATTTTGAAAACTTCAGCCTGAGGCAGCAGAGAAAGGTTTTATTCAGTTCACTCTGAATATTCTGCCCTGGCAAAGACTCTACAAAACATGTTTTATTCAGGGTTACTGGATCCTGACTGGACTCATTGCTGGATAGTTTCTATTTCTACTGTGTTCCTGGGAGTTAAGCAAGCCCCTCAGCCCTCATCTGCCCCTTGCTGCCCAAAAACCTGCAACATTTGGCTTGACTGTGGGGTTTTACCCTCATTTACAACACTGGTGGGTTTTCTTAGGAATTATATGAAGCACAGGTAGCAGAGGAACTGTTTGTGCCCTACCAGCCTACCTTTCACATCTGCAGAAACAAACAAGAAAACATACACCATTACCTCCCCAGCACCCAATTTTTCAATCAAATTGCAAAATTGCAACACCAAAAAACCAACAGAAAAGCTTTGTAGATGATGCTCAAAGCAGAGTGAGCCAGGAGGGATGTGGGAGGGATGTTGCTCCCCCACGTAAATCTGTGTGAAGCAAAGGGGATACAGTGAAAAGCTCTACTCAGGAGTTATCCCCAGACTTACTTCATCAGCTCTGGGTCTTCTTTATCATCCTTTGTCGGGGTGATCTTGATCCCACTTTTCTTGGCACGAGGGCAGCCTGACAGACTGTGGTTAAAAAGAGAAGAAAGGCCTGTCTCACTGGCAGAATCCCTGCCTTTGCTATTCCCCCACTTCAGTCATCTTTCCCTTGAATTTGGCACAGTGTTTTTTGATCTCTCTCGTTTTACAGCTTCGCACCACAAGGAGAAGTCAGAAGAAAAAAATAATAAAAAATTGAGGGAGATGGACAGTAATTAATGGTGTCTAGATAAGAAGATATCTGCTAACAGCCTGCAATGTTTAATGGAATTGTTGAAACAGAAGGCTCAGATCTCTGCTATTAATGTTCTAAAGTGATAATAGAAATCATAAATAGGTAGCAATATTAACAGGAACATTGCATCAGCTAAAATCTGACCCTTTGTCTTTTATTCTGTTGAAAGGAGCTTCTAATCAGATGCTGGAAACATCAGAAAAAAAAAAAGAGAGAGAAGTCAGATTAAAGAGATGAAAATAGGCTTCAGTTGTCAGTAACATTAATGTTTTATTCAGAACTTTACAACTCTGCCCACTGCAGGGGAAAAAAAAAAAAAAAGGCAACACAGAAAGAGGCTACAGAGAAAATAATTTAAGGGAGATCTTACCTTCTATGCGATGCATAATTTCCTGTTATGTGACCAGAGCCATCACAACCAGGAGTAGGGCACCTGCAGAGGCAAGGGAGGCTCGGATTAGCCCGGGGGTGCGAGCAGGGGGTCGACACTCTGTGACAACTCATTTCAAAGAGAAATCTAGGGATTGTCAACACAGAAGCAGGTTTTTCCTTCCTGCCCCTTCTCCCTCTGTAAGAACAAGGTCTGGTCTGTAATATCCACAGCACCAAAGTCAGCGCATCGCTGTGTGATGTGGCGTTGGAGAGGAACATCGGAGGCAAGGTGTTGGGATGTTGGGAGGGATGTTGGGAGCACAGTGAGTGGCTGCTCTCCAGGAGGGACACAGGTCCCAGCCTCTGTCCCCACCCTCAGGAAGGGGACAGCTCAGGAGCTGATAATGAGCTAAAAAAACCCTCCAGGACAGTGTCTGTCATCTTGAGGAAGCTGTAAGGAGACAGCAGGTGCCATCCAGGGCCAGCAGGATGGATGCAAGCATAGAAAAGGAATGAGAAAAATAGCCTGGACAGGGGGCCCAGCAGGGCCACCACCAAGAGGAAGGTCTCAGTTCAGGTCTGGGTGACTTGGGTGTGGGGGGTGGTTAATCTCAGTGGGGGCAAATGGACAGCCCGTTGCAGGAGGGTACTCAAAGTGCAATACCAGCCAATGCTTCTGATGGAAAAAGATGAAGGAACAGGAGGAAAAAGGTTAGGTTAACCCTGGGTTCTCTTCTTCATCACTGTAGGCAGGACACAGGGGTGTTGCAGGGTGACAGCACCTCCTGGACCTCGGGCTGGGGATCTCCAGGTCACCATACATGGTGCCCCAGCAGCTTTTGGTGCTTCGGTGCAGAATCTGCCCTTGGTCCTCAGCCATTGCCATTACAAAGGGACCTTTGAAGATGCACCCAGGGTCGTGAGTTTGAAGGTGAGCACCCAGCACTCTGGGATGGCACTGAGAGCAAAGCCTGGAGAATGGTCCTGTGACCACCCAAACCTGCACAAAGGCTGGCAGGGCTGCGAGCCCGCCGAGCGGCAGCGAAGATGATGGCACGAGTTAAGCACCGCATCGTCAGGGGCTCACAGCAAGAGCGGTGAGGGGACATGAAGTACCACGAGCACAAAGATCTGTTCCGAATGCTGTAGGTGACGCGGCGGACATAAAAGTTGTCATGGGGACAAGGAAGAGAGGCGAGGAGTGTTCGCAGAGGATGTGCACGCCAGCCTGCCAATTAGCCAGGGCTTTTTCAGTCAAGTGATTAGGACCGGGGGAGGGGTGGGAGGGGGAGGAAATCCGCGGTGCTGCCGCAGGACGAGGGGGAGATGCTCGGCTGCTCCTTCTAACCAGAGCTCGGGGCACATCCACGAGCTTGCAGAGTGCCCATTCTCCTTGGGGAAGGGTTTTACTGTGTCCCACCTTTCTCAATCCCTATTTTTAAAGCCACCAGTGCCTGGTTTGGACCACTGGCAAGTACCTGCCCCAGAACAGGGACTGATGTGTGTCCAGGACATGCTAGTGATGTATGGGCAGCCTCTGAGGTCAGTGCCCTTGGGAAAGGCAATATACTTTCCCAAAGATTGCCCAGGGAGGTGGTGGATGCCCTGGAAGTGTCCAAGGCCAGGTTGGACAGGGCTCTGAGCAGCCTGATTTAGCTGAAAAAAAAATGTCCCTGCTCACTGCAGGGGTTTGGACTAGATGGCCTTTAAAGGTCCCTTCCACCCCAAACTGTTCTGTGGTTCTGTGCTGGTGCCTGGCCCGGGCAATGGTATAATTGGGGTGCTCCAGCCTCTGAGAGTCAGTGAAGCAATGATTTCCACAAATGTCTTTTATCTGGCAGCTTGGAAAATAGCCTTTCAAAAAACCCTCTTTTTTTGACCAGAAAATATCAAAATTCTCCTCTTTGCACAAGCTCAGAGGGAGAGTTTGGCATTTGCAGGTCATTGAATAGTCTCTGTTGGCAAAAAAAAATTGTTACTTCACCTCAGATTGGGAGTACAGGTACACATCCTGATCCCAGAAGGATGTCAGGGACACTAAGTCAGGACCGAGGCTCAGCCTGCTCAGATGCAGGAAAACATAAATGCACAGAGATCCAGAGCAGTAAGAACAGGGATATATCCAGCAGAACCCCAACAAGGATGCAAATGCTTCGACTCATTTAGAAATTACAGGTTTGGGAGATGACTGTGACATTTCCCTGCTATACACTCTTAAAGTAGAAAGCAAAACTATTTCTTTGTTGTTCTAGCTTCAGGGTGGGAGGAAATTATGAAAACACTAGCACCAAACTCTTTCTGCCTTTCAGGACTTTCAAAGAGAGGAGAGAAGTAATTTGATTTTTATTTTTAATTATCTGGAGACAAATCATACCAACAGAGACCTTTTATTGCATGTTCCAGCCTGGAGCTGTTTTTTTTTATATCAGGGATATTAACCCCTGAAATAGAATTTATAATAGAAACACTGACATGGTCTTATCTGGAGCTGTGAAAAGCTATGACTGTGCAATCTGTAATATCTCCAAATCCTCTTCTCTTCCTCCCTCCTCTGCTCCCATCCTCACCAAGACATAGAAAAAAAAAAGAGTATTTGAGAAAAAATATTAACAAGCTTTTTTTTTTTTCCCCCAGAAGTCTGTTTTATACAGTATTTTGATAAAAAGCACTGACATTGGATGCCTGAGGGGGGCAGGGGATCCTGCACAGCAAAGCTGGGTGCAGTGTTTGATCTCAGGTACAACCCTGTTTGATTTTTGTCTGGTCCTTACTGGAAATGGGCACTGCTCCCGAGAGCTTTTAATATCTTCAACACTAATTTTCTGATCACTTGGCTACTCTTTAAGGCTGTTGGAGAAACACCAGTTCAGCAAGATTCTTTGAAGAGGTTCTTTCAAAATATACAGTCTATAATGCATGATTAAGTGTACTTAGCACTAACCACGCCAGTCCTTTCCTTCCACCAGCATATTCTATTAATATCAGCTAATCCTGCCACTTTTTCCACCTCTGTGATAAGGAGCAGGCATTTAACAAACACTTTTCCTGGTACCAGCACCCACATTGGTTGTGGGGCACAGAGCAGTCCCAGAGCCATGCATCCCTCCAGTCCATCACAGAGGGATTTGGGACTTTATCAATCATCTTTGTGACCAAAGAGGCTCCCCCTGACTCAGCCATGGCTTCAAAAATCCTTGATTGTGTTCAGGACACAGCACATTTGTGGTTTTTTTCATGGTGAGCCTGTGCAATGGGAAGCTCTCCATTTTACTCTCAGTGGGGGCTCTCCAGTTATAGTTGTGAATATCTCTGTGTCTGAATGATCCAAAAACTGGATTCAGCAAAGCAGGGAGCTCAGAGGAGACAAAGGTAGGCTGGATCCATGGAAGAAATGTTGAAAAAGTTCTCAATGAGCTTTCCCCCAAAGAGGGAGTTGTGTGGAGGAGGCTTCAGGTCCCCCCAGTGTCTTCATCTGTTTTAAATACAATTTCATCTTTCTTTAGGGAAAGCAACCTAAGAGAGCATCTGGGAAACCCTCCTATGAAGAATAAGCTCCTACTGAAAATGAGGAGTTTGGGGAAGACACAGCAAAGGTGAAAACAAGATTCAGAGGAAGATATTTGACTGAAAATGTCAAAACCAGGTTCCTCTCTTCAGAAGCAGCAATGGAAACAGGGAAAGTCAGATGCCTGTGAGCCCTTTGCCACTGGCTCAGGATCTGGCCTCACCAAACATTTGCACACTCCCTCCTTCATTCCCTCACAAATCATGGGAATGAATAGGAACCTCTCTCACTACATCCAGAACAGCCACTAAAATTTAGTCTAAAAATAGCATCCCAGGTTCTCCAAAAGAGTTGGCTTTCCTATGTCCTGGTGGTGTGTTCCCACCTGTGTCTCTGCCCAAAAATAAAGCGTGAGCCTTTCTCCAGGTTTTGGATTATTTGAGAGGAACAAAAATGTTAAATGAAAAGGGTTATGGCCCAAACTAGGGAACAAGAGCTTGGGAAAAGAAAATAGCATGTCTACAGTGCCCAGAGGAAACCTGCCAGACATTCAGGTAACTTCCAATCACTGCCATGAGCCCCTCTCCCCAAAATAAGCCTTCCTTCATGCCATTGCCTCTTCAATGTGACAGCTGGAAGCTGGACTCCACCAGAGCTCCTTGCAGGTAGGTTTTGATCAGCTCTTTGAAAGGAGAAGGGAAGGGATGGAAAAGCAAAAGCAGAGCAAGAGGAGTGGGGGCAGGAAGGGAGAAGAGAGAAAAAAGGGTGGAAATAAAGAAAAAAAAAGGAGTTCCAAGTTGAGCGCAAACATACTTGAGGTCAGCAGAGTGGGCAGCCATGAGGTTTCTGAGGCTCTTGTCAGCAAGAGGACAACCAGAAAGGCTGAAAGAGAAGAGATGGAATATCTGGATAAGCAAAAAAAAAAAAAAAAAAAAAAGGAAAAAGGAAAAAGAAAAAAGGGCTGGGGCGTGGGGAGGGAGAGGGGCAATAGAAGGGGGGGAGGAAACAGAACCAAACTATCCACATGGTCAAAAAATATACTAAAAGAAAAAAAAAAGTTGTCTTTAGAGTTCAAACCATGAAAAAAAGGTCAACCCACCTGCGGTGAGAGGCATAGTTTCCTGTTATGTGTCCGCTGCCGTCACAGCCTGGGGTTGGGCAACTGGGCAACAACAACAACAACAACAGGGATCATAAACGTGGGAAAGAAATGGATTCCCCAAGAGCCACAGATGGGCAAAGCCAGCTCAGCCCCCTCAGGGTCTATCAGGTGGGTCTCAGCCCAGCCCCACTGCCTGACCCCTTACACCAGCTCCATCCATCAGATCTCGGTGTGTGTTTGCACGTTTGCATGGATATAAACCAGACATTTCCCTTTCAGCTCCCTTTCCTCCCTTCTTTGTTCCCAAAAAACCTAAGGATCCTGTGAAAAAAAAATGTTAGGAATTGCATAAATTTGTGGCAAATGCAAAGGAAGTGTTTAAAATCCTTAGTTGCTTGGAGTGCTTGGTGGCAGCTGGGGACTGACAAGAGCCTGCTGGGTGGCATGACCTGACAGGTATGAACATCCCTGGAGGGTGCTGCCAGGTTGAATGATTCCTGCAATACTGAAACTCTGGCTGCAGGAATCATCTTGTTCAGTTTTCAGAGCTGAATAAGGTGCGTCAGATTTCAGGTTTCTGAAATGATTTGGTTTTTTTCCTCCCAGCCCTTTTAGCTGCAAAGAAAAGCTTGAAAACACTTTTCACTGCAGAGAGGGAATGAAAGTAGCCTCTGACTGTGTGTCTGGAGGCTCCTAAACAGAGGGTAGGAAGGAGCTGCTGCATCCCACCCACTGCCTTCAGTGGATGTACTTCCCATCCATCCCTCTTCACTGCCTCCTCTGTACTTTCATGGGCAATGGAAAAAAGTACTCTCCCTTCTCCATGTCCAGGGAATAAAATCCAGTTTGTGCACAAGCAGCAAGGCTCTGGCACAGTCATGCCCTCCTGCCTCAAGTCAAGGGTATATGAGAAAGCAGGGATGTCCTGGGGCACTACAGGGATACCTTGAGAGAGTCTGGCCCAGCAGGTTGAGGCTTGGAGGCACCTATTCCCTGCTCACCCTTGAGTCCTTTCCCAGCCACAACTCCCACACAAACACAGCGAGCCCTGGAGCCAGCACTGACATGGTGATGTTCAAGCAGCAGGGATGTCTGGCTGTGTGGTTCCCACTCGTGTGCCAACAGGAGGGCGATGGGAAGATACAGGTGAGGAGCACCTTCCCTGCCATCTGTGCCTGGAAGTGGCACAAGAACTACATCCAGACACGGAGCATCAGGCACAGCAGGCGAGTCTGCTCTTAACTACAGCTAATTCATTACAGCCTTTGGGCCAGAAAGGAATAAGGATGCTAAATGGGGAGGGAAGCCTCAGCACTGCCCACGACACCATTTATTTATTCCAGGGCTGTTTCCATTCAGGAAATTTCTGTACCATCACAATAAAATTAAGACACGGGAGGACTTCAGGGCTCTACCTCAGAAATTACTACTCACGGTGCTGCTGGGTTTTAAAAAAGCCTTTAGAGCTTTGGATAAGGGCAGCTGATCTGTGCTTTGCTCATTTAGAGAAGATGCTGCTGCTGCTCTCCCCGACAGATCTCCTCCCTGCCTGTCTGCTCCCTCAGCCTCCTGCCTGCAGAAGCCAAGTAATGAGCGAGTTGTATAAGGTCAGTAAAACAGTGCCCACCAGTTCTTCCCTGTTTAACATGCAGGGGGTCAGATACACAGGAAAGAAGCCAAGAACAGCTGGGATGCCTGGGAGGGGAGACTTCCCCACCACAACCTCCAACCTGATCCCGAGGTGCTGTTAGGTCAGACCGAGGTCCAAGCTGCCATGTTTGGATCAAACTCTTAAACATCAACCATTCCTGTGGGAATCAGTGTGGATGCAGAGCAATACTCCAACTAATAGCACAGATCTAGGTCGGTACTTCCACCCACCCGATGAATAGACAGATGTGAGCTGGGGGAGGGTCTCTCTCCAATGCAAACTGCAGCCTGACAGCAATTTTGCTGCAGCCCCAGGTCACACTTTGTGACCCTGGATTATCACGGTGCTGGGACCCACTGCTCTAAGCCAACGAATCCTCTCTTCTCAATGAGACATCTTGTGGTTCAACACCCCCATCAAGAAGGTGCTGAGATCCCTTGGGTGCTCTTGGCTCCACAGCATCACCCGGTGCCCTAAAACAAGGGGTCAGGAGATTGGGCAGGCTCCTTCACTGTGCCAGAAACACTCTTGCAGGAAACACTGAGGAAAAGAAAGGGTTTTTCCTCAACCCTGTCCATGAATCCTGAGAGCACCAAGCTCCCTAATAGGTTCTTTTTATCACTGAACAGTAAGGCCATGTAGGAAGGGATTTTTCCTCATTGATCAGCTGTTGTATGAGGGTGGGGGTTCTCTTGAGCTTTCATATGAACCACTCAGATGAGCTAAGACCAACCGCAGTAAGAAAAGAGAACTACAATTCTAATTTTTAAAATTAATTTACTAGTAAATTTTGTCTCCTACCAGCCTGGTTGTGCTAGGTACATATTTAGTAGATTTTGGAGGAAGAGACAAAAAGGAGGACTTACGTGAGCAGCTCTTTCTTGATGTCCTTGGAGAGGAATTTCAGCTTGAAGTTGGTTAAAGTAACTTCCCCTGGGTATTTTCGCTCTTCAAAGTTTTCCTCTGACACTTCTTGCTCATCAGCTTCCGAGGAGGCAAAAGAGTGAGCGGCAGGTTCTGACTGCAAGAAAAGATCCAGGAACAGGGATTGTAGTGGTGGTCATTGCTGCTGAACTGTGGTGGGAAAGATCCCAGCTTCATTCCAGTTAAGAGTGCAGCATTCCCAACACTCCTGAGCCCTCTGAAAGCACCTCACAGTACCCAAACCATGGATCCAATAGTCTGTAATTTCCTGGTTTTGTAGGAGAAATGTGTAAAACGTGTCTGTATGTGGATTTCCATGTGGATTTCCCTCACTCCAGCCGGGGGGTCATGGCTGGATTCCCCACCTGCAGGATTAATGTCAGTGACATACAGGGCCATCTCTGCTCATGGGAGATATAAATCCTGGCAAACATCACCAGGAGCACCACTGGTGCAAATGAGCTGAAAGGATTTACAACAAAGAAAGCACTGCAGACCCAGGGCAAGGAATGTGGTGGGTTCTTCCTTTGCAACCCCAACAGTTCTAAGACCATCTGCCTCCTGCCTGCTTGTCCCTGGCTGATACCTGATAGTACTGACAAAGCTAGAAATATTTCTCTCCTAGGCTCAAAGGGCAAACTAGGTGTGTGTGGAGGGGGAGGGAACAGGACAACTGTGCGAGCACACATGGCATTCAATCGCCCATGAGGGAGATTCAAGCATGAAGAGTCACTTCTCACCTCTTCCGGCTCCTCTTCCCGCTGACGGTTTGGTTTAGTGTAGTCAATGGGCCCATCCCATTCATCCTGGCGGGAGGTCTGGCTGGACTGGGGGGAGGTCATGGTGCTGCTTGTGGCACTGGTGCTGTTTTGGCGCTGCGACACATCTGGGGACTTCATGCTGGGACTGCTGCTGCAGCTGCTGCTGCTGGGAAAGGTGCTCTCCCGTTTGCGGTGTTTGTTCATACTCAAGTCCAGAGTCCCATTTTCATCCACCTCAATGTCCATGGACTGAAAGGTTGGAAACATGCCCAGTGTTAGCAGCTGCCAGCAACTCCCTGTGGGGATCTTGCCCCCATTTGTCTTTTACAGTGCAGCAGGCAGCTTTTCATGTCCCATCCTCTCCACAATCAGTTATGGAACTGAATGAAAAGGGATGCTCTTTCCTAAATATTTCAGGAAGGCTTCATGAAAATGCATCCCATGTGGCATTTTGACTCAGTTGATTAACACAGGCATCTAGTGCCACTTAAGACGCCCCATGGGATCCAAAACATATGCCCAAGGCTCGGGGTGCTCCATAGGACTTCTGGAAAATCTGTGTTCCCCTGAAAAATAGCTGGAAATCAGTCTGGATGCAACTGGGGAATCTCAAGTGGCATCAGATACAGATCAGTGAGCAACTGAAACCAGCTCTGAGAATCACAGAATCGTTGGGGTTGGAAAAGCCCTCTAAGATCATCGAGTCCAAATGTTCACCCAGCATGGCCAAGGACACACTAAACCATGTCCCCAAGTGCCACATCTACGTGTGGCACTTTAATCCCCCCAGGGATGGTGACTCCACCGCTGCCCTGGGCAGCCTGTTCCAGGGCTTGACCACTGTTTTAGAGAGTAAATTTTTCCTAATAACCAGTCTAAACCTGAGACTTGGCTTGACAATGCTGCTCATCTCCCATGGGTAATTTGAGCATCTCCACAGCCAAGATTACCTCCTCCAAACTGCACCAACCAGAGCAGGGAGCGAAAGGGTGATTTGTGATGAGTGTCTGCATTCCCTCTACACTTAAAAACTGAAACGAAAGGAAGGGCAAACCAAGGTATTTCTCCCATCCCAAACTTCAAGTCTGGCCCCTGGGCAGTGGTCCCCAGGCACATGCACCCACCTTGCCGGGGGCCTCTTGCTGCTTGGTGCTGAGATTCTCGGGCATCTCCCAGCAGCGTGTGGAGAGGTTGAGGATGGCAGTGGCAGCCATGTGCGCAGCCTCAGCGTCGTGGGAGTAGTCAAAGCCTGTGGAGGAAGATGAAGTGCTCTTCACGTAACTGCTGGAGGGGCTGTGGCTGGGGGAAGAGGCCTTTGGAAAAGGTTTGGCTGGAATAAAAAGAGAAGGAACAACACAAGGCTGATGTATAACCGGCATGGGCAGCAGAGAGAAGTTAGTCTGACACAGTTAATGTATTCACAAGTTCCTGGGGTTATTCCCAGTCCAAGAGCTGGTTTGTTGCCTGAGATGTGCAACAGGAGCAATGCTGGCTGCAGCTTGTGCAATGATCTCTTGGTGTGAAAGGTTAATTCGTTAACTGACTCTGCCATCAATACCCAAAACACAAGTGCTTTTCTTCATTAGAGCTACTCCTCGGTGGAAGAAGCTAAAGGAGAAGGCCTAGAGAAGCTTCCTGGCTCTTTTTTTGTCCTCTGTATGTCCATAATTTATCTGCAGAGCTGTCTTATGGGGAGATTTCTAGTAGCACATTTGAAAACGTAAAATTTAAAAAATTACATTATTAGAAAAACCATGGTAATAAAATATGAGCTTCCAAGGATAACACGGTGAAATACAGATTTCCTGACAGCTGACATATCATTTAAATATGCCTGAATAACTGGATTTATTATACAGCTGCCACTCTGTTACTGTATGTCACAGCAGCAACAATGCCAACCTGGAAATGCAATTTCTCTTCACACCCTATGAAACAAAAGCGAGTATTTCTCAGGGTGAATGCACAATAAAACTTTCCCTAATAATATTAATAAATAATAATTTCCTATTAATAAGACTTGAACCTGGTCCCATTTAGGGGGGGACCTGACCCACACAGGGTCCCTCTAAGTCAGTAGTTTCAGTGGGTGCAAACAGGATCATCTGATTTAGAACAGTCACAGGATTGCATTCTGAATCAATTACCAAAATCTCCAAATCCTGAATTCATTCCACTGTGCCCTTTCTGGGGGAAACCACCCCCCCTTTAGGGGGAGTCTCACCCAGGGAAGACTCCTAAGCTTTGGCCTGATGATGGCAAAGCAAAGACAACCTCTGTTGATGCAGCTATGGAGCAAAGTGATTTCATTATTCCCATTATGAACTTGTAATATAAGACACTATAAAATACTAATCTTCCCCAGCACCGCTTTCTTCCTTGTTGCGTGTGTATATAATGCATATTGACATTAATGGGAGTTATGCACACACATGCAGGGGAGTATAAATCCCTCTGGATGAAGATCTCTTTAAAATAAGTTCTCAGTGAAAGGAGCAGATTTCCCCGCTATGATTGGCAATCATATTCATCCTGTCGCTTTGATTAACTCATTGGAGGTTTGCCCGAATGGTTATTCTCGTGTCTGGCTGCTTGTTTTCCCGTCCGGTTTAATCCATGTCTTTGTGGTGGGGTGTGGGGTATCCACCCTCCCAACCTGACAGTATTCAGGATCGGGAGATGCCAATTTCAATTTCACACCGTGGGCTCAGCCATGCTTTTCCATTTCATAAGTATTTCTACCACTAATAGACTCGCAATCAGCAAATTAGTGAAATAAGTGATGAGAAAAAATAGAAAGGATTATCCTAGTGGGTCTGCTGGAATTATTTTTGTCAGTACAATTACCCTGAAAATTCTTTGCTAATATTGCAAATAACACAATCTATTCAACGAGAGAATCACTTGTGCTGGGAAACAAATTACTTTTCCATCAGCCCTAACCCAGGATGACAGTGGCAGTTGTGCTCTCTGGCCTCCATCCAATTTCATTGTCTGATCCTGTACAGATTTAGTACTGTAATAAAGGGCGCTCCCATTGTAGTGCAACAACCAGGATGCTTTCAAGTACGAGCACTTTTTTACAGAGCAGCTGCATCAGGATTAAACAGGATTGTGGAAGTGGGATTAGCCAGACAGAAAGCCCTCTTGAGGCTGCTGACTTCTGCAAACTGGGCTCCTAAATCTTTTTTTTTTTTTCCCCTCAGAAAGATGTCTTCAGGTACATGGCTGGTGTCAAAGGGAAGGGGGAGGTTTAACACATTTGCACAGGCTGTCTTCCCATGCAGTGTCCCTCCTGCCCCAACAGCCCAGCCCCTCAGGGTTTATTTATCCATTTCATTTTCACCCACAGTGTTATAACCAGTGCAAGGTCCTCAGAACAGAGCAGAGGTGGGTGGCTATGACAGGAGAGAGCTGGAAGAGAGAGGTGGGTGATCGATAGGTAGCAGAGCTGGAGAGCAGAGCACGGCAGGAAAGACAAATGGGTGGAATGGGTCATATATAAGATGGAAGAGAAGAAAACTGTAATCCATTTAGCTAGATGAGGAAAGACAGATCAATAGATACGAGCTGCAAAGCAATGGGGACCAACTGAGGACAGCTGTGTAACTTCTCCCACCTCGAGACATCACTGAGATTAATGTTCACACTACAGTTCTTCCAAAAGCTGAGGCCAAAGCAACTCTCCTCCAAGCAAAGCTTTACCAGCGGCCATGGGCTCCTCTCATCTCAGCCTCCCCATCCCAGGAGGGATCCAGCAGTTCAGCCCCAAGCCTCTCCCACCACCCCAAAGCCACAATCCCAAGAGCCTTCACAACATGCTGACAAAGTCAGAAAATGCAGAAACCCAGCCCATCCCTGCTCCCAACTTACATTTAAAGGCTTTAGGTGAGGTTTCGCTAGTCTGAATCTTTGGGGCAAGCATGCGTTTGCCAAAAACCTGAGCATCAAAACTTGCATAATCGAAGGTGACCTTGGAGTACTTCTCCAGCTCCTTGGCCAGGTTGGCCCGTGGGGTTGCTGGGACCATGTTGGGCCGGTAGCTTCCGTAATGAGGGATCTCCAGTTGCTTCACAAAGCACATAGGCCTGAGGATGAAACAATGAGCAGCAATTATTTCTCCTTTCCTTGGTGAGATGACTGTTGGGAGGGGACTAGACGCGATGGGGATGGGTAGCTGCACCTTGTTCCTGAGGGCTTGCTGGGCATGAGGAGGCAGCAACAGCCCTTTTGCACTCCCTCAGCAAGTCTGCATCTGGTTTGGATCTCTTAGGTTCCATTTTTATTTTTTCACCCTTTTTTTTTTCTTTTTTTTCCTCTTTTTTAAACAAAACACCGAGGTGTCAATCTCATCCGAAACAACAGTCCTACCCACTGCTGTGGCATGGCAGCATTTTCCAACACAGCACAGGAATGGGTATCACTCTCTCATGGGACCCATGACACGGGGTGGCACACAAAGGCGTGAGGACCCCAGTTCAGCTCCACTCCCCACTGCAGGGTCGTTGCAGAGGCACCAGGGCCTCTCCCCTGCCTGCAGTCCCTCCTAGAGCCCCGCTTCGGCAGGGCTGCCTATCATGAATCAATTTGTCTTGCATATAAATTGTATATAAATGGCCTATTGTTATTCTCCTTCCCGTGACCTCTTTCCACCAGTGACTCCTCGGAGCGGGAGCTCCTTGGAGCATGGGCCGTCCTCGTGATGCGCTCAGAGCGCTCTGCGCCCGGTGCAGGCTCCGCTGCAAATAAATAAGTAATCGCCCTAAATGGCCTTTCCAAAGCACTGAGAGCTGGTGCACCAGGGTGCTCAGCAGTCCTGGGGAGCAAATAAATAAATTAATCAGAGCTCGATGCCTTTGTGGGAGTGCTGCTCGGGGCTCGCACCGCGGTTTTTATCCTGCTCTCGCTGCAAAATAACAAACCATATTACGATCCATCTGTAGCCTCATGAATCACATCAGCTGCGGAAGCCAGCATCTATCAGGGACATCCTTAATGTGAGACAGGCCTTTCTCCCGGGAAGATAGAGATGGGCGAAATATCAAAACAAATGTGACTGGTTTGGGAATGAGTGGCAGGTTCTTCTCCCCTGAACCGTGCGGGCTAAGGAAGAAAAGCAGGTGGACTTACACGCAACTGCCATAGAGTGATTTGTATGTAGCCTAAATCTCCTCCTCCCCCCCTCCCTCAGTCCACCCTACTTATAATGCTAATATAATAGCCATCACTGGCTGGCAGTTTGTGCTGCAGAGCGATCGGCACAAGTGCCTTCTGCTGCACTGGTAAAACCCTTTGGCCTGTAGCCTCAGCATTAATTGATGCTACAGAAGCAATTCATTGTCCTCAATGCTCTCCCTGGGACCATCAATTAAGTATCTCCCCACCTTGGCGAGACCTATGATCGTAATAACAGGACTCAGCAGTATCAAGATACAGCTGGAGGGAGCCGTGACGGCCGCTCCTGGGAGCGTGGCCTGGCAGGGAGGGCTGGGGCAGCGCAGGGATGTGGTGCTGGGCTTTGCTCTCCCACTTACCTGAGTATTCGGTCAGAGTTGGAGCTGGTCTTTGAAGGATCACCAGACTGGGTTTGTTGCTTTTCATGTGATTTGGCTAATTTTTCAGCAGCAGCAATGGGGCACCCAGATAAACTGTGGGAGTTGGGTTTGTTTGTTGTTTTGTTGTTTGGGGGTTTTTTTTGAAAGAAGAGAAAAAAAGAGAAAAGGAAACCAAGCATGAGGAGTGAGCACGAAAACCTTCATTTCAGGGACCCAGAGCTACACTAAGCCCATGAGAAACATTTGCTTCTTCCACACTGAACGAGTAATGAGACAAACTCACCTTGCACCTGCAATCACATTAACATAGAATCATGATATATAGAAAGGTTTGGCTTGGAAAGGACCTTAAAGCTCAACTAGTTCCAACCCCCTGCCATGGGCAGGTTACACTTCCAATAGCCCAGGTTGCTCCGGAGCTGTCAACCTGGCTTGGACACTTCCAGGGGTGGGGCAGCCACAGCTTCTCTGGGCAACCTGTGCCAGGGCCTCCCCACCCTCACAGGGAAGAATTTCTTCCTAATATCCAATCTAACCCTGTGCTCTGGCAGGGGGAAGCCATTCCCTCTTGTCCTGTCACTGCACCCTTATAAGAAGAAGCCAAAGCCGGTACCTCCTGTGCGTGTTGCGGTTGCTGTTGACGTGACCCTGTCCTGTGCAGCCTGGGGTGGGGCATTTCAACACGTTCTCGTGCATCGCCAAGACTTCAGAGCAAGAAGGGGAAGGGGAGAGGGGAAGGGAAACAAAAACAACTTAATAAAAATCAGAGAGAAGGAAAAAAAAAAAAGACAAAACCATCAAGTCTTGTACGTTGGTTTCCTAGAAATCAGGGAACGTGAAATGCTGTAATTAGAGTTTGTGGAGAAAAAAAAAAAGATTTTCAAGGCAGCAGCACTCAGGTCAGCACTAGATTAGCATCTCTACACACAGCCTGGGCTTTCTCCTCATTTGCTGATTGCAATCCAGTTTCCCCCATCTAGCCCCTCCTGCCCACCCGTGTTTTGGAACCAGTTCTCCCAATTTCAGGTAGTTTTAAGTGATTGAAGTTGTATCTCTGCTTTTATCCTTAGGACTGGTCTTTGTTTGAATTTTTTTTTTTTTTAATTTTAATCTTCAGGATTATTGCTTCCTGCAGCGCTGACCTTAGAAGTAAAGAAAATAATTTGATCTGCAAGCTTTTGCAAAGCACACAGCTTGTGCTAGTTATTTATTAATATTTTTTCTTGCATTCCAGCCTGTGAAGATAGCTGTACTTTCTTCTTGTTTCCTGTAGTTCTGTGTTTATGGCAGGTCTGCAACCTTTGAAATTACTGATAAGGAAGGGCTCCTTTTTTTTTTTTGTGGTCTATTATGCCATTATCATAAACATGCAACCTTGATTTTTATGTATCTATGGAGGGAAAGCTATTTAGGATGCTGGTAGTGAGGCAGAAATAAAATATCTCTCTATGCACATACAAAAATCTGCTATGATGATGATAAATATTTTCTGTAGAACAGGTGAATCTTGATATATCACCTTGTGAATTTTACAGTGATAAGAGCATAGAAGAAGACTCAGCTATCCTGTACATCCTGAATGACTCCTCTCCTTTCCTGCATGTCCACATGTTTGGACAGCAAGGAAGAACAATATCCCCTTCTTCCCAACAAGATATCCCATATAGGGAATAACATGTCACTTTTGGTGTAAAGATGGGCACTGCTTAACACACTCCTGGAGGTGGGCAGGTGTTTTTAAAGCCCCCCTTTGATTTTCAGAGAAGGGACCTCGTTCTCCACAGGATGGTGCTAAAAATCTTTAAGAAGGGCAGGACTTCCAAGCAAATCTCCAGCACATTTCCTGTGAGTAGCAACAACACTTTGGTGGACAGCAGCATCCAGGATCAACCTGGAAAAGCACCATCCCACGCCAAAAACTCTGTTGTACTCCAAAGGATAACATCAGGCTTGTGCTAGAGACTCAGCCATAAAACTCACATCGTTTGGGACTGTCTGGAGAGCTTTGAGGCAGTGCTACCCATCAGATGTGAAATTCCCCCTAGGAAATAAGGCCTCAGAGTAATTTAAGCAGCCCTTGTTATCCCACCATGTACTCACTCTCGGGGGGGATCCTGTCTTTGTGCGGGCAGCCGGAGAGGCTGCGGTGATGAGGGTAAAGCCCCGTGACGTGGCCGGTCCCGTCACAGCCAGGAGTCGGACACTTGATTTCTCGCTTCTCGGGTCTCGAAGGATCTGAGGATTGTGGGGAAAGGGCGGTGGGGAGCAGGTTAGTGGATTAGGAGGGGAAGAGGTGGAAAGGAGAAAAAAAAATTGCTGAGGGTGCTTCCTCTACCACTTTTGCAGTCAAACAGAGAGAGACTTTGGGTTTGGAAGTTTTTTTTCCTGGAGGTGGAATTGTAACACAGGAAGTTGAAAAAATTGGAATCAGTAAAGTAATTTGAGGAAGAAATCCAGTTTGGAGCATGGAGCAACTCACAGTGACTGAGCAGGCAGCCAGCTCAGTGCCAGAGGATGCCAAAGCCCCTGCCCCTCATGTTCCTGTGGCCGGACTCCTACCTCTACTTTAAAACCCCCTTGTGTTTTAAACCAGCCCTACAGCTCAGACTCAGATTTTCAAGGCCAATGGACAATTTAGCCAAGCAATTCCTCTGCTGAGAGGAAGGATGGTGTAGGGCACATCATCATTTTGTGCATTCACTGTTGACCTCTAGGATGCCCCCATCCCTCTGGGCATTGAGGATTTGTGGCTAAATTCTCCCAGTGGGCTGTGATTTCCCCCACTATCAGCCTGATTATCACAGGGTGCTGAGCAGACAAGTTCACCTCTTTTATTGGGAAAGGAAGGAGAGGCTTGTCCCTGTACCTTTGCCGTAGTAGCTCTTTCGGATGCTGTCCAGCGGTTTGCTCTGTTTGTCATCCACCTGGAAGTGCTTTACGTGTTCCCCTGGCAGCCGGCTGGGCTCCCGCACGATTTTCACCTGCTCGGCTTTCAGCGCGATGGCTTGTTCCAGCAGCCCCAGGTTCCCCCTCGTCATCATGTCGTACATCTCTGACTCGTCGGTCACGGCTGATTTCTGGGACCGGGCGTCGTCGTCCTTGTCATCGTCCGACCGGACCTCCACGATGACCGAGTACTCGGGCTTCGGGCTGAACTGCCCTTCACAGTGGCTTTTCTGGGTGTCCTGAGAAGTGTGAGGAGCTTCTTCGCAGATCACTTCAGGAGCCATCTCCTCCTCCTCTTCATCCTCGTCTTCTTCCTCTTCTTCCTCCTCATCATCCTCCTCCTCCTCCTCTTCCTCCTCCTCATCATCCTCTTCCTCCTCCTCCTCATCCTCTTCTTCTGCCTCAGCCTTCTCCAGTTTACAGGACTCCTCACAGGTGGCATCATCCCTGTGCTCTGGACACAACTCGCTGCTGCGCTCGCTGGTGACCTCGATGACCTCCTCCGCATCCTCTGTCTGGATGATGATCTCCTTGTCGCACTCCTCTTCCACCAGCTCCTCTCCCGCATCCTCATGGACCAAATGCACAACGTCAGATGGTGGCTTGGAGACCTGCAGCTCTGCTTCGGGCAGCTGCCCCTCGATGGCGAGGGTTTCCTCTGCTATTTGGCCCAGGTTTAGGAGGGAGTTGGCAATTATTTCTTGGTAGCTGCTGTAGTTGGCCTTGCTGGGCCCAGACGTACTTGATACTGTGTTTTGTCCATAATGGGTTGATTTTGCTGGGCTCCTCTCTGAGGAGGGGGGAAAGAAGGAATAGAAAGAAAAAGGGAGAAAGAAAGAAAAGACAAAAAAAAGGAAAAAAAAAAAAGGAGGAAAAGAAGAAAGGGGGAAAAGAAGGAAGGGAAGGAAAAAGAGGAGAAAAGAGGAAAGGGGAGAAGGGAGGAAAGAGGGAATGAGGAAAGGGGGAAAGAGGAAAGGGGGGTAAAAAAAAGGGAGAAAAAAAGAAAGGGGAAAAAGAGGAAAGGGGGGCAAAAAAAAGGGAGAAAAAAAGAAAGGGGAAAAAGAGAGGGAGGAAAAAAAGAAAGGGGAAAAAGAAAGGAGGAAAAGAAAGTAATTATGTAAACTCATAAACGTTTCTTTTTTGTATTTAAACTTATCTGAAACCAGAGCCTGGCTGTTCTACCCCTGGCATGGCCTAATTTATTGCATTTGAGGATGGCAGGTAGAAAGGGAATTTCCACATAGAAGGGAAATCATGGGGGTTCAGATTTGCCATGTTCCCAGCTCTTCCTACCCTCTCACACATACCCTGTCCCATCAGTAGCCATCTCACGCCCCTGCTCCCAGTGCTCCCCAGACCAGGGCTCCAAAGCAGTGAGCAAGACACTGTCAGGACCCTGGCTGAAGACTCATCTCCTTTGCTGGTCACTCCTCTTGGATAGCAGCTGGATCTGGCCGGGGCATGACTCCTGCTGAGCCCCTCTCTGCACCAGCGTGGGACCCTGGCTGCCTTCCCCGCTACCACCTGAGCCACACAGCAAGTTCCTCTCTGCTTTCCATGTGTCTTTCCCCAGGGAGCATCCCTGTTGGAAAAACTCTCATTTTTATGATGCTGCAGACAATCGCTGTGTGTCCCCTCTCAGCTTAAGCAGAGCTTTGCTGTGTTGCTTCCACCCAGTGCAATAATTGAAGGACCCATCCTGTACATAATTCAGAGGAGCTATAACTCCTGGTTGTTAACACTCCCTGCCCTTTCTTCATCTGCACAACACAGCTCTGCAATCAATAATGATAAAGCACCTTCTGCCTGCTCGGGGCTGCGGGTCTCCTCCTGCTCCATCGCCTCCGCCTCATCCTCCTCCAGCATCCCCTCCGACTCATCGGAGCCAGACTCCTCCTTCGCCTCGGCCTCCTCGCTGCCGTCGCTGTCGACGTTGTAGCCTTCATCCAAGGCCAGTTTGAGCGGGTGGGATTTTCTCTTCGACACCAGATGTTCGGCCTCCGCATCCTGAAGTTTCCTCTTCTTTGCGAGAGGGCAGCTTTGTAAACTGCAGATGGGATCAAGGAGCAGAGAGAAGGCATTGCCAAGGGAGAAAGGCCTGGCTGCCTCATCCCAACTGGTTAGGCAAAGTCAAGTGGGACAAATACACAAATACTACCAAAAAGACCATCCAGCAGCCCAGATTTTTTAGCTGGTTTAACCCTGCATGGCCAGATCTGCTCTCAGACCATGACTTTGTGCAACTACATCAACTTTTTTTCAGAAATGAGAGCACGGATGCTGGGGTGCAGCTTCCTTGCAGTTGTTGTCCAGGGAGTAGCAGGATCAGCAGCTCCCAGCACCACTGTTGGTGATGGGCATCAGGACCATGAAACCAGGCAGGGGATGCAGAACTGGACCCTTGGGGCTCATCCACCAACTGCTCCAATTTCACCATTATAGGGTGATGATAACCATCAGTTAAGGCTGGCATGGCCTTAAAGGCAAACTGTGTTCTTTTTTCCCCTCCCCATCCATAGACACTGAGCAGACCAAAATCTCTGCCTGTCAGCAGCTCCCACCAACCCCTGGCACCTGAGTCAGGTACTTCTGCCATGTTTTGGGGTCTGTAGGAAGGCTGCTGTCAGCCTGGAGAGGTAGACCTCCCCAGGATCCTTTGGGGACTGATGGAGAGACAGAAACCAGCTCTCTCGTGGGCAGATATGGGACAGAGGAGTTGGGTTTCTGGTCTAAATCAGATTTTCTCCAGTGAACCTCTGTGTCTGGGTTTCTTGCTCACAGTTTTCCCCTCCACTCCCTCCAATGCAGCCTCACCTCCTGTGTCTCGCGTACTTCCCACGGATGTGTCCTGAGCCGTTACAGCCTGGGGTTGGACAGCTTGAGAGGGGAAAAAAGCAAAACATCAAGAACAGCAATAGGACTTGGGGAATTACTGTTTAATTAGAAGTGTATAAACTACGGTCAGTTAAACAGGTCCTGTGCCCAAGGAACAAAATAACTGCAAACGGGAAGATAATTTCCCTCAAATGGTTCGGTTTGTCCCTTTGAATTCCAAGGGAGGAGGGCAGGAGAGCAGCCTTGCAGTTTGCTAAAAATTAATGAAATTACTCACCCCATTTAATTAGATGAACGGGTTCACTATAGTTTTATGAGTATGTTTAATTAAAGATTTGCGTGTGTAAGAGCAAGCTTTTAAAGGCAGACAGCTACTGCGCTCTGCCTCCCTGCTGCCACTCCAGTTTTCTTTTTCTCAGGAGGAAAACACGGGTTTTTTCCTTATTTGGTGGCTTATCAAGAAACTGGAGTTCCTTACAGCAAGAAATGGGTGGCTTTTAGAAAAGTAGGTCAAGGAGGTTTTTGGCAGAGCACTTTGGGTGAAGATCACCGGGACTAAAATCCTCAAAAGCACCTGAGAGCCCCACTTTTGGAGGGATGAATGGGATTTCGGTGACCAGATCTCCCAAATCCCTGCATTTTTTTCCCTGCTACTCTGCAGAAGAGGGTGAGTTAAAGACTTGCAGGGAGCTCTGAGCCACACTCTCAGCCACCACTACCTTTGCTTGAGCATCCCTCTGCACGGGACCACGCGCCTTCCCTGCAGGGGTAATTAGTCCCAGCTTCAGGAGCTGTAAGGGCTCCAGATAAGAAGCATTAAAGCAAACATTTTGTGGCAAAACCAGATTATGGCATTGATTATAGGATGCCCAAGTGACTTGCCTGATGTCTGAGGAATTCTGGAGTCGTGTAGGATTAATAACCTCATTTAGCACTGTATCACCCTCAGCCCAGGAAGTTGGAAGCACTAATGAAATCTCTCGATGACAGTGCAAAGGGAGAAGGCATCACCAGCCCAGAGGGGATCTGGCCAGCCTGTTATTCTTAGAGTAAAAAACACGGGACAACATTAAATAGTATCAAGTGCCAAGTCAGGCTTTAGGGACTCAGAATTTCTGCTCTCAGCAGAGAGCTCAGCCCTTGCAAGAAGCTGAGGACACGGAAGGTCTGACTGCACTAATGGGTGTAGCAGCTCTGGGGGCACTGGTGGGTTATTAATGGTTCAACTCCCCACAATACAAGTCAGATTGCTGTGTTCAAAGAATATAATTCAACCCAAAAGCAGGACAGAAAAGGGCTGCTGAACTGTCAGGAGAGTAGGAATCCTTCCTCCAGGGAGACCAGCTTGATTTAGGTTAGCAAAACTGATGCTGAGAGGGCAAATGGTGGCAGCACATCCACTAAGGGGACACAGCTCTCTGGGTGGGTGAGAGCTGCACCTCCTGGCTCCTCCAAGACAAGTCCCCCTCCCTGCTGTCCCCTTTGCTTGTGGCCTGTTTTGAAGCATCCTCCAATGCCATCACTTGGGGGATGGGTCCCAGCTCTTTTGGCATCCGCACACAGCCCAAGCCCCACCACACCCAGGATCTGGCCTGGCAGTGAGGTGTCCCTTTCTCCAGCAGAACATTTGAGGTCAGACAGAAAAAGATCTCATCCCACTAACATGCACAACTGGAAGAGGGAGCTCCCCCCTTTTCTGGTCATGATCTAAAAGTCTATTTAATTTTAATTGCCCTCAGTCCTGACTGAGGCTGCTGTGTCCCTAGCAGCCCCAGACACGCTTCCAGTGACTGCACACCAAAAGACAGAGCAGTGTTTATGTCACCAGTGACTTGCCTGAAAAAGGCTTATTCGGTGGAGAACAAGAGCAGCTCTGATGAAGATGTTACAGGCTTTTATAAGTTTTCCTGTATCAATTAAAGCTAATTATCTCCCACCCCATTTTTGATGTGGTGAAATGAAGCCTGCAATAAAAAGTACGTAGGAAAGAGCCAAGTGGTTGAGCATCGAGGTTTGCCAAGGCAGGTGCCGATTTGGGATGTTTCTGGCTTCAATGTGTTAATTTAATGCCTTTAAAAAGCACCAGCACAGAGGTGATGCTCGACATGCTCTGGGCCAGGTTTTCCCTCCCCTCTCTCCTTTGGGGAGGTTTCGTGTATTTTGGCAGGAGTCCCAAAAGGGGAAAGGAGCTTCGAGGTCTATTAGAGCTGCTCTCCATCTCTCGAAAGCCACCACACCGACCAGCTCTCCCCCTCTCTCCAGCCTTCATCTGCTTGACAAAAGGGCTTCTTATTGTTATGCAGACGATGCCCTGCTTCCAATTAGTCGATTAATCGTCCAGTTATTCAGGCAATTAGGTGACAGCTGCAGAGATGGCTTTGTGGAGCACTCTGTCCTGCCCCTTAGATATGTCACCTGCTCCAATTACCACCTCCACTCAAGTGTTCAGCAATAAAAGTTGGAGAAGGGGCATGCCCACCTCTCGCTCCTCCCGGCTCTCCAGAGTAATAGGAGAGTGGAGGAGCAGAAATGCTCTGAAATTGGGTTGGTTAAGGTCCAATTACTCTTTGACACACACGGCTTTCTAAGGAAGGCTGCTAGGAGAGGCAGCCCATGCTATTAGTGCCTGTCCAGGTTAAAGACTCCTACCTCTTGCAAAAGCCCTTGTGCAAGGTTTAATGGGAGCTTAGAGGTGGGGGAGGCTGTTATATCTATTAAGAAGCTCTGTGGGGCTGCAGAGGCTCCACTCCTGCTCTTTTGGCTGCTGCTGTTGGCAAGCCAGCACTGCTAAATTAGTGACAACAGGACCTCAGTGACTGAACAGAGGACGTGGGGCCAAAGGAGGAGCATCTGGCACGAGAAGTGATGTGACACTATATTGTTTGGGGGGAATAAGAGGTGGTAAAATATGTGGAAAAGAAACTGTGGTTAGCTGGTTAGTAGGATGTTGTCCCTAATGATCCTGGAATAAAAAACATGGGCATTAGATTTTGCTGGGGTTTAGATGTGGGATTGGACAGAGGGTGGCTCCAGTCTAATGTGACCCTTTCCAGAGCTCCTGTTTTCATCCCTTTAAGTCTTGTGGTTCCTGACATGTTTTATCAAGTGGTACTCATAAGACTTGGACACAACAAGGTGCCTGCCGATATAAGCCCCCCAGTAAGACCTCCACCCCACTAGTCCCACAGGTTTGCTCCACACACACAAATTCCCAAGCTGAGGGGCTTATCCCAAGCCAGTCCCACCATGTGCCCCCCCCCTCCCGCCGAGGAGGAGCAGGGTCCTTACCTCACCTCCTGGCCGATGAGCTCCGTGGGCACTGGGCGAAGGGGCAGATGCAGCAATGGAAACAAACACAGGTCAAACACACAATAGGGGTGCCCGGCCCCACCCCCGAGACATCCCCCTTCTCCGGGGGAAACTCTCCTGCCTGCAGCTGCGTTTCTATTGCCTCCTGGGGCATCCCATTTAGGACAGAAAGGGAAAATCTATCCTGCTGTCGTTTTACTGCATGCCAGCCTGTAGTAAATCATAATCCTGCCCTGTAAATCCTCATATCTGTGCTTATTTTCAAGCACGTGAGTGCACGTTTGCAGTTTCAGGGACCACCTCTCTTCTCTGAATACAGATAACTTTGAAGTCATGACTTTGGAGCTATACTGATATGCATACAACTCAAGTTTAAGTAAAGACCAAGTTTTCTCATGCCGCCTTCTCTACATTTGCCCTTAAAATCTGCTCATCAATTTCTTTTTCCACAGTTCACAATTGTTTTGCTGCAATGGGCATATTCACCTCTAAACCACCATTTTTCTCTTCCCCTTGTCACACTGGACTGAGCCCCTACCAATGCTCAGACATAGTAGGAGATGTGTTAATTGAGGTTTAGGGTAGACAACAGTTTGTAGGGGTTTCAGGGATTATTCCCCATTTGTGAATAAGAGGACTTCTCACTGCTCACAGTAACTATATGCAATAACTTCACATCATCATAGCTGAAATCTTACATCCAGCCAGGAATCCAAATAATCAGGAGGAAAAAAATCCCTCAACATAAGTTTAAATTCACCCAGGCTAAAAACTATAACACGTTTGCTCAATTTGTTTGAGCTAATTGGGTTTCCTGGGATCCAGCTCCCAGTGGGATGACTCACAAGCTTCAACAAACTGGAGGCAGTGGCAAGTCCCAGGGTGTACATAATAAATTACCTTTTCACATGGAGAAACCCAGATTCAAGTGTGGGGAAGGCAGGGTGTGGGAAAATAAATAGAATTAGGGGGCTCTCATTTGCAACCTGAGTGAGCACCTTTGTGTATGTGCAACAAAGCAATGAAATCCAAATATCCAAGCTTGGTTCAACACAACTGGTAGCATCTGGGTTTGGTTTTTTTTTTCAAAATATTCAGATGCTGTGAAAAGCAAGGTGAGGACAAAGGAAGGTGGTTCAGCCCCTCTGTAGGATGAAGCTGCAGTCCCTGCAGCCATCACACCTTTCCAGCCTTGTTCATTCCTCACTTCCAGCCAGCTTTGTCATTTGTCAAATCCACAACCATAAAAAGGAACCAAAATAGATAGGCTGGTCTGTAACCATCACACACAGGGACCACCTGAGGTGACACCCCGGGCTCTGCATCAGAGCCCCTCACCTTCTCCCGAAGAGAAAGCGCGCACAGACCTGCACTTATTTTCCTTTTCCTTTTTTTTTTTTTTTTAAATCAGAAAATAAACAGCAATCAAGCTTTGCATTAACCAGTCGTTTGTTCCCCCATCCCTGCCGGGGGACAGCCCATTTGCTTCTCCAACATGAGCTACTTCTGCCAGGCTCACTCAGATGTGCGACTTCAAAGCCGCTGGCAGAGTGAGCATGATGAAAGCCCCGGGAGCTGATCTGAAGCTCCAGTGATTGCCATCCCCTACAGCAAAGCATGCACGGGGGCTTTTTTTTTTTAATTTGCTTGTTATTTTCCTTCTTCTGGGTGTAGAGGATGAGGGTTAAATATCATAAGGACCTGCATAGGTTTGTGGTTGGGAGTTTTGCAGGATTTTTAGAAAAATTTCAGTGGGGTTGGGGAGCGGGGGGCAGTGAGAGTAACTTAAAGAGTCAAGCCTGGACCTGAAAAATCAAAGCCTATTTGGAACTAGCAAAGTGCAGGGAGCTCAGGACTGTACAGCCTGGTGCTGTGGGATAAACAGCTGCTCACCTCTGACAGACTTGGATCGCGTGCGTGCTCTCTTATCGTCATTTTCTAAACTCATCTGCAACGGAAAGAAAAAAATCATTGCTGAAAGATAACAAGAAAATTATCATTAAAGGACAATCTTTCATGTGGTTGTTGCTTCATGTAAATACCTTGGCAGCAGGGAAAGCTTTCCCATGTTTTTGAGATGAAGGTTTCTTGCTTTGATGCAATTGTTCAACACACTGTGCCCAAACTTAGCAAGTTTAAATTAATTTCCACATCCCAGGACACAGGAAGGACCCTCTGCTTGTTAAGTACCACAGAGGGACAGACACCTGATGTGATGCTCAGTGATGGAGAACAGCTGTGCCTGAGATTGCACTTGTTAAGGGCAGAACTGATTTCTCTGGGTTTGCATCACAGAAGTGCTCTGAGCACCCCAGTGGAATGCCAGCATGTATTCAGAAATCTCTGAATTTGTGTCCAAAATGGTCTCCTGCCTGAGAAGGGCAATTTTTCACAAGTGCCCTGAAGAGCAACCTCTCCTCTCTTCTTAAATTTACCACAAAGAGGGCTGCGTCTAAATAACACCCCCAACGTGGACATCAAACAGGAGGGTCTGCAGGGAACACGAGCATGAATAAGTAACATTGGGGACTTCAAAGTGCTTGATATTAATTAAACATCACCACATACCACAAGGTAGCAGAAGGCTGAAGTGCAGCCACCTCTGGGGTGCAGCACCCAAGCCCTGGTGTCAGGGAGGCTTTGAAATCAGGCAGTGCCTGGAGGTGGGAGCAGGAAAGCAGGGGCCTCCAAGGCATGGCAGAAAGACACAGCTGGAATAATATAAATGGGATTTCATTAAAGTTGTCAACAGAGGTGCTGAAGTGGTCAAAGAGCTGTTTTACATCTTGCCCTCGACACAGATGCTCTCTCTGCAGGCAGGAATGTTTGGCAGCAAATGCCAAGGGGAAACAGCAGGATTGGGATGTGAGCAGGGACAGAGATCATAGCCTGGTAGGCTGGGGGCAAGACAATTTGGGTTTTACTGCAGTCTTACCACGTGGAACATTTCCTCCTGAGACAACAAGAAGGAAAGAGAAAAGTGGGGGAAAGGACCATTTACAAGTGGGATTTGACATAATAAAAACAAATTCACTTTAGAACATCCTCTACAAGGCCCAGTTAGAGAAGGATCCAACCAGCTCCTGGGCCATCCCCAAATGAGGAGGTTCCAGGCTAACCCTCCAACACCCCTGAGAGAGCAGGGACACCAGCAGCTGCTCCCCTTGGTCAAGGGGCAGGAAGGAACATACATGCAGAGCACATCTGGCAGTAGGGATGATGCAGGTGTGATATGTGCCACTGCATCCCCACATGCATCTTAAAATCCTTTCTTGATGGATGGGCCAGGGGTCCTCACCCTCAAAGGATGCACCGCTTGGTGCTTTCCCTGAGATTTGGAGGCAGAAAGGAGGAAGGGAGGGAGGCTGTTGGGCAGGCAGAGAGAGGAAACCAAGGTCCCCAGCCTGTGGGGCACCACAGCTAAAACCACCTCAGAGAGGAGGGATGAAATTTCTCCGAGTGCCTCTCTCCTTTCCATTGCCACCCTCCAGAAATTCACTGTTAGCATGCAAAGATTTATGTGATTTGTTAGATGGGGAGGTTAGAGAGGAAAGGAAAAAAAAAAAAGAGTGGTGGTGGGGAATCAAAACCTGGAGCAATTTCTGCATCCTGTCAGCATTCAGCTCATGGCACCGCGGCGTTGTGCTCCACGTTTATTACAATCTTCCCAATAACACAGCAGACAATTACTATAATTTGTATTTTTAAAGCCCTGGTTCCCTACGGACCAATGGCTCACGTTTAAAGTGTGGAGAGGAGCAGGTGTCACAGGGACTTCATTACATTTATGAGCCTTTCAACGTCGGCGTGTGCTGAGCTCGCTCCCTAATGCCGCAGCACGCCGACAATACAACTAATACCTTGCATTGCTGGGAGCCTCCAACCAAAAGGAATTTCAGAGAGGGCTTTTTCTTTCTTCTTTTTCTTTCTTTTTTTTTTTTTGACTGATCCCCAGGGAATTGGCACATGTTGGGCTGGTGCCTTGGCAATGTGGGTTTCCTGCAGATCAGTTATTCGAAGTGGCAGAGGAGGTCGGGCTCTGGGAAGGGCAATGGGCATCACCTGCAAGGGGCCAGCCCTGGCCAAAAAAAGAGGTCACAGGGCCAGCATGGAAAAGCAAAGCAAAATTTCAATTTTCCTAACCCTGTCCTTCAAGGACAGGCAGGGGGGAATGGCTCAAGCTGCTTGTCTAAAAATGTTGGAGATCTATAAATAAGGGAAATCCCATTTCATGTTACATTTGTCTTCAGGAAATTAGGTATCACTTCCGAGGTAACCTCCAGGCTCCTCACTACACCACAGCACCTCAAAGTAATTCCTGACATTGCCTACCACACCTTTTTCAAGCCAGGATCAAACACCCTGGGAAGACAGAAACACACTTTGTTACCACATGGGCAGTGGGACAGGAGCCACCTAAGACAGGAACAGAGCCAACCTTGCTCAGGACCAAAGAATGCAAAATCCAAAAAGGCTACCTTGCCTGACCTGCTGTACAAAAAAACCTCCAAACCCAAACTCTTGAATTATTGAGGGTTTTCCCCACAGGAAAGACCCCTTTACTTTTTTAGAGAACTTGTCACAGCCTCACCGCTGTGTATTTATTCCACTTGCATCACAGGCAGGATAGGGTGAACTCTGCACTCCTAGAGGGTTTTCTACCATCAGGTTTCTTTTCTCAGCTTAAATCAACAGCAACAGCATCCTCAAAAATCCCCACTCCCCACTAAAGTGCCAAAACACCAGGAATAAGATCCATTTCGGAGCTCAGCCCCTGCTCCTTCCAGGCAGCTTAAATAACTGGCACAGCCATGACTGCACTTCAGGAGCCTCCGTGGTATCGAGCTCAGATGCAGGAAGGTTACATGAAACCACTGTCCTTTACTGTTGCCTTCTCAGCCAGAAACCCTCTAGACAGACTGTTTTAATGCAGAATTCCAGGTTACACAGTGCATGTTTGCAGTCCTGGAGACCGACAGGGTATTTTCATTAGGTCTCTCTCTTATTCACATAACAGCCAGTCTGAGAAGCTGTCTGGATCTCACTCTTATTATTTTAACTCTGAATGAAAACAAAGCAATCCAAGGGGAAACCCACAAATAAACTATTGCTACCAAATGCCAGCCACAGGCATGTTAGTCCAGCTAGAAAACGCAGAGGTTTATTCTGCTCCCCCTCACTTACCAATAGGTTATGTCTAAGATTGAGTCAAAATAAGCACCTAGCAAGTTTCCTAGCCCAGTGCTGCAGGAAAGGACCCTGTGCTGGGTCTCAGGGTACTTGCTTCAGGATTCAACTCAATACTCTGCCATTGACAATCAGAGTAACCTTGGGAACATCATTTCATCCCTGAGTGCCCCTTTTCCCCCCCTTTTCTCTCTAAAGGGAAGAAATACCCCCTGCACCACGGTACCATGTGTTTGCCCCACACTAAGGAGCTCCCTGACACAACCAGAATACAAGTTATAATGATGATGTGTCAATACTGCAAATATAAGTCAATGAGGTTCAAGCAGATAAACTTGAGAAAGAGTTTAACCCGCTGTTACAACGTGAATTTTAACAGCCTGATTCTACAGTAAAGGTCTTGTTCTGCTGCCAAGACAGCAATACAGCACGGATCCAAAGTTTCCTTTTATAGAGTACCTAGAGGGTTGATATTTTCTTCTTCCTTCTTATCTTAATACACATTTCCTTTCCAATGGGAGGCTAAGGGGCATAACAGAACATAAACCCACTGGGAGCCCACCATGTGCTGATGCCCAGGTGTGCCTGGGCTTAGACAGCTCTATGCAAATCTGTACCATTAAGGACCCTACTGAAATTCCCCCGGGTCAGCAGTAATACTTTATATGTATTCAAGAGCACCACAGAGCTCAGAGAAAATAAACATGCTGAAAAAGCCTTCAGCTGGACAAAGGGAGGTGAGGATTCAGCGGGACTATTTATTTTACACCGAAAGCAGCAGAGCTTCCATCAGTGCTTATTTGTGGACATAGCAAAATGCCAATTGCAAGAAGCTGCATCTGAGCTTTAGAGGGACAGACGGACACACAGAGCCTCTATTTTTAGTTTAAAAAAACCCTAAACTTATATTTGCCTAGCAGCAGAAGGAAAATGCCAGAAGAAATTACATTTTTCCTACGGAATTGTTGAAAAGTAGTTTTCTGCTTGGTCCTCCCCCTCTTCCAGATCCAAAGAGTCCCTCAATTAACTCCTCAAGGGAAAAGGCAGCAAAACTGCCCTTCAGCTCCTACCAACTGGTGAGGACAGGTTTGAATGGCCTGTTCTGATTTCTTCTTTTTTTTTGGGGGGGGAGGGGAGGGAGTATTTCCCCCACCCTACCAGGAATTCCTCCTCCTTGGCTGTTGCAGGCTGAACATGGGCAGAGAGACCTTCATCTGGGCCTCCAAATTTCTCCCCCTTGCTCTCTGTGAAGTACCATGGCATCTTTGGTCACTGTAGAAAATGAAGAGGATTTCATCCTGCTGGAGCTTCTCTAGCTGTGAGTTTTTTAAGTAAGGGATGATGGAGGAAGAAATACCCTTGATCAACAGGGTGCCTCTACTTTTAAAAAAAGGCTCAGTAGTAGCTCCCAGCTGCTATTTTAGAACCACACTCAAAGATTAGGAGGGGTTTTTTTTTCCTCTTCTTCCTTTAGGTTCTTCCTTGCTGTTTGATTTAAATCCTCCTGACGTTCCACCTATTGTGAGTCCTGTCCTCGGCTGAATAAACTCCTGCCTGCCTTTTGCTCTGACTGCTTCCAGGAAAGGACACCCTGCGCAGTGTTCCTGGGCTTGGAGTCGGGGCAGGGGGGGGACGTGTGTGATTTTTCCTTGATATGTTTAGACGCAAACCCACAGCTTGTACCCACCTCAAATCCAACACTACAGCTGTGTCACAAACATCCTTCCTGAAGCCGTGCTGTCAGCTTGCATTTGCAGGAAGGGTCCAACCCCCCCCGGAAAGCACCCGGTGCTGCGAGTGAAACGTCTCCCGAGCGCCGACACTCTGTGGCGATGGCAGCAGCATCCTCCACACAGCAGCATCCTCCACACAGCAGCATCCTCCACACAGCAGCATCCTCCACACGAGGGAAGCGGAGCAGAAAAGCTGCTCCTGAGCATCACGTCTGACACAGCCGCAGCTGCACCGTGCGCGTCCGGGCCGGGTGATTTCATACGCTGTAGTTTGAGTTGACATACACTTTCCTCTTGACTGTCTCAGAGGGCTCCAACACGCGATCCCGACGCCAGGGAGGCCTGAGCGGCTCCATACATGCCGATGGCTCTCACGCCACAAGAGGAGGGGTAGGGAAGCGGGGCGGGGAAATAAATCGTAGTTCTTCAACCTCGTTGTTTTCCAGCTCGATAATAAGCTGCCTTTTCCATAAGATTATCCTCGACTGGCACCATGTGAAGGGGTTGTGGAAGTGAGCTATGTGCGTCTCTCCAAAGAGGACAAAATAGCCGGCGCTCGTGGCAGGGATGGGCTCTGGTGACCCCACCACCATCCCTGCTTGTCCTGGCAGCAGTCAGCCTTCACCAACAAGCTGCCTGCTTTTCAGCTGCACCCCAGCTAGGTCCCCATGGCACAGGAAAATAAAGATTTGGGACACAAAGATTCATTTTGCCATCAGATACTGTGGTCCAGGAGCGTCCGTGTGGACGGGCTCAGCTGGCTCCGTGCAGAGATCAGCTCTCGCCAGCACTGCAGAGATCTCATTTCAAACCTGTCATGGGAAATTGTATCCCATGCCTGGACTTCTTTAGAGGCAAAAATAAATAAGTAAACGTGCCCCACATCCCATTGTCCTTCACCGCTGCGCATCCTGTGGATTACGAGCTGTGACTGGCATGAAAAACTACATTTAAATACAATATGTATTTATGAGCACACTTGTAAGTGCAAGTGTGTGCACACAGTGCAGATCCAAAGGTTAGAGAGGGATCAAGACCTCTCCTCCTGCGAGGTAAGAGGGCTACACACACACACACACAATATCCAGGCTCCCTCCAGACTCCCTCTCCATGTCTCCTCCTCTCACCCCCGAATCAGTCACTCAGTTAAAACGCACATAAGCAGAGCTGGGGATTGCAAGAAATGGTTAATATTCACAATGTGCTTGTCAGAGGCAGAGCACTAGATGAGCACCAGGTACTGGGAATATTACCTTTTGTAATCATTGCTTTATTAACATACGACAATCTTATTAAATCTAATCTAAGTGCTTATTTGGCAGGTTCAATAGAAAAGCCTTAATTGAGCTCATTTTAAATGTAGCAACAACTGCTTACTCTGCTCTCTGAGAAGGTGTGAGCTTTCCTGGCGACACCTGTGTGCAGCTGACAGCTTGTTAGTGAAGAAGGATGGCTTTTAAGGGTGGATTTTTGCTGGCTTGGGGTTTTACCAGGGTTTGGTTTATTTGGGGATACAGGAAGGGTCGGTAACATCAGTCACCCAAGGAGGCTTCCTCACCACCCAGGTGGGTCCACCCACACACTGGAGATGATGCCTCACTACTGAGAGGTCAAAATAGGACAGGAAGCACCACTTGTGTAGTGAGCAGCCCAGTTCTCTGCTTAATTAAAGCTTCCTAATCTGCTGGCAGGGAATCTGCCAGGAGGTTTGACAGCTTTGGCTGTACCTCTTTCATCAGCCACAGCTGCAGCAGTAAATGAGTGGCTCTGTTGAGCCCAGGGAGCTGTCCGGGGTCCCGACAGGAATGAATGCCTCGCTTGTCCCCTCCAAAGGCACCACAGCTTCACCTGGTGCTCGAGGGGCTCCTTCCGACCAGCCGGCGCCTTGGAGAAAGGGCCTATTTTAACTATCCTGGGAGTGACCTAAATACCCAGATCTGAGCCATCCTTGAAGGATGGCACCGGAGAGGAAGGCAAGGATTTAACTATCTGGACTCAAAGCCAAATCTTGACAGCTGGAAGCCCTCCCTGCCCGAATTCACCATACAGGAGGTTTGGCTGTAGCGAGGAGACAGAGACTTCCAAGTCCTGTCTGTCACTTTGGGTACCGGAAAGGCTCCATCCCCCCAGGACCAGCTGGTCCATAGGGGCTGGAGCAACACGTGGCCCTCATCCCATGGCCAACACATGGGGTGGTGTGTGGGGGGTGTCACTGTGCTAAAAAAGTAAAAGCTTGTGTGCTCACCTTGATGTGTGTGCCGTGCAGGCTGGCGGCTCCCTCGCAGCTGCTGATCTTCTCTCCGCAGGTCCACCTCTGATTCAGCAGCTCACCCCGAAACTCATTTTCTGAGGAGGAAAAGAGGAACACGGGGTCAGGATCGAGAGTCAGCCTGGCACCTCATCAGCAGCATCAGCCAGAGGTGAAAATGCAATATTTATTCCCTGCCATACAAATCTTCAGGGTCTCCAGGCCCTGAGCAGGAGCCCAGGATACCACACCAAGGCCAAGACCCCCAGCCATGAAGAATTTGCATCCTCAGCCTACCCCAAACCTTGCAACACTGCTCAGCTCGGTTGGAAAACACACTATTAACAGTGAGTAATCACTGGGGAGCTGGACACCTCATGGTGCCCATGGCAGCTGGCAGAGGGCTTCTCCCTTTACACTCTCTTCTCTTTCCAGAGGTGAAGCTAATTTTTAATATTTCACAAAAGTCTGCACATCTAGAACAGTGAGTTGGCATCACTGACTGCAAAGGGGGGGTCCCCATATAGGTTTCCATGGCCACTTTCTGGCATCAGCATCCTGGGAGTGGGTCATTTCTCACCCTGAAGTTTATTTTTGGGGTGATCTCAAAGACAGGAGAAGTAGGGAGAAGGTTCAGACCAGCTCAAGGAAACCTGTGGGAGCTGTGTTGCCAGCAATAGATAACTTGTTGTTTAGGGCACCAGGCAAGCAACTTTGGAACTGCTCTGTCACAAAACAGCTTTTAGGAGAACATGCAGAAAATCACCAGGGAATTGACTCCTCCTTGCCTGTGTCTGTTCTCCCTCTAGAACAGACTACAAAACAACCAGTAATTCCCACAGCGCTCTTGCAGGAACAAGCACATGGAAAGACTGGGATAATTTGATCCTATGATGATGTACATCCAAGATAGTGCCTAAGATAGGTGACTGTGAAAGTCATCTTTATGTGTTTGTCCTTAAACAGCTGCTCTGAAGCCAGGAGTGCAGCGAGGGGAACTTTTCTAGGTTTCATGGGAGATTCACAACTCTGTTTGAAACGCTGTGTTCTAGCCTAGACCCAAGAAAAGGCACAGGGCTTGGAGGCAAAATCCAAGAGTTGCTGAAACATTATTCTGCTTTGGAGAAGCTCCGAGGAAAGGGAGCAGGGAAGCACAGATGGCCAGGCAGATGATTAAAACCAAGCAAAATGAGAAAAAAAAAGCTAGAAAGGGAGAGAAGAAAGGAGAACAGAGGGGAAAAAATATCAAATAAGAAGAAATAAAGATGTTTCAATAACACATTCATAGGCCATTACAGCCTGCCTGCTCATCTGAAGCATTTCACTGATCATCCTTCTCCTAAACATGTTTTAAAGCAGGAGCAACCTCTATGGGATGGAGCAGAGAGTGGGTTAAACTGTAGAAACAATGGATCCAGAATGCCAAATCAAAGCTCTACTTGGGTTTAAGATTTTTGAAAGGTTGAGAGGTCATGAGATACAACCCCGAGGAGGAAAAATTAGCAACATACATGCAGATTCATCCTTTTTGAGCCTGTTTTCTCATGTGTGCCTAAGTCATAGGCTAAGGGTGAATTCTGGAAGCTGCCATGGATAAATCTGGCTCAAAGTGTCAGCTTGTCCTCGCCACAGGTCCCATCCCAACCTCCCAAATTTTCATCCCTTTAAGCAAGAAGGGAAGGCACTGAGTGTTGGGACGAGGAGCCTCAGCTAGGCTGAAGGTGTGTTGGCCACACCAGCTCAGAGCCTTCCTGCCTGCTCCAGTCCCTCTGCCCAGCCCACTTTGGGTGGCCAAAGCAGCTCCATCAACACTGGAATCAGATTTCCTGTACTTTGTGCTGCTTAAATGTGTCTGGTCTCCGGAGAGGATCAGCTTGCACTGCTGGCTCTGCCTTTTCCACCTCCCTCCAGATCCCGGGTTCAGCAGAAACAAAGCTCACTGGTTATGTGAAGGACATGTGTGTTAACCCCTACCTGTGCCACCCAAGGGAAAGTGTGAGATATTGCCTGAAATATGAGTTTTAGCCCATTGAAAGCAGATCCTGGAGTTAATGGTTGATTCTGGGGTCCCCTTCTGGCACTGAACTGGGACAGCTGAAGCACACAGCTGGGAGCACTTGCATCCACTCCCCCTTGAAAAATAATCTAGATGCTCAGCTGGCCTGATGGATCACTGCCTGGTGTTCACATCCCAAAGGAAACCGCCAGCTTTCCCCCACCAATTCCCTCCTCAGGACCCTCCACACAGTCAGGACTGGAGCACACACTGGGGCCTCCAGTGGACAGGCTGCTTTTCCCCAGGACCATTTAGGACAATCCACAACCATCCTCTTCCTAATGATGTTCTTTCCCAAACCTGTCAGCTGTGAATCAAAATATTGCAAGCTGTGTACAATCCTGGCACAGAAGAACAGGTTCTGTGAAACACTTGGGTCACTCTCATCAACACCAAACAAGGTGATGTGGAAACTTGGGAGGGAGACCACAGCAATTCTGAGTGTTAATCAGACGTGTGTGCTTTACTTTCCATTTACAGAGAAAGAAGAAAGCACAGATTTCCCGGAAAAAAATGAAACCCTCTAAAGAATGGCAGAAAATTCCCCCAAAAATAAACACAGCAAACCTCATAGGAAGCTTTGGAGGGAGAGTGAATAGAAAACGAGGCAGGATGCCGCAGGAGGGAGCTACCTGGGTGGCAGCCAGCTCCCACACATGTCCTTACAGCACCAGGGGAGCCACATTTGCAGCAACACTCTGTCTCCAAATCTCAGCAGAGATTGCACCTGACGTAGCAAAGCACTGGGGTGAGAGGAAACTTCCACAGAGAAAAGGTGGGGGGTGAAGGCCTCCTTTTCTCATAAGATGCACCACTGCATATTTAAACTGAAAGACTAGAAGAAAAACATATCAATCTTCATTTGCTCCCCCAAGTGTGACAAAAGCAAAAGGAAGGGAGAAAGATTTTTCTTCATCTTTACTCAGGAACACTTTTTATGAGAAAGGTGAATCCTGTGTTAACAAGGCAGCAATGTGCTGAGAACAAGCTGGGTCCTTCAGTGTCCTGCCACACAACGTGGGCTCACTTCTCAGAGCAAATATAGCAGCAGTGCCAGGGATCAGAGGGAGCATTTTGGTCCCCTTCTTTAGTGTGAATTAAAATAAATTTAAAAAAAAAAAATCAAAACCAAGTTCTACAACTTCTCTAGGCTGGAGAAGCCACCCCTGGACCTCTGCACTCCTCTGCACTGCTGGATGCCCAACACCCCTGCATTTTACAGAAAAGAGGGAGAGCAACTTTTTACACAGGCAAACAGTGATAGGACAAGGGGAAACAGTTTTAAACTAAAAGAGGAGAGATTTAGATCTGCTGTTAGGAAGAAGCGTTTTACTCCGAAGATGGTAAGGCCCTGGCACAGGTTGCCCAGAAAAGCTGTGGCTGCCCCATCCCTGGAAATGTTCAAGGCCAGGTTGGACAGGGCTTGGAGCAACCTGGTCTAGTGGAAGGTGTCCCTGTCTATGACAAGGGGGTGAAACAAGATGATCTTTAAGGTCCCTTTAACCCAGACCATTCTATGACTGATTTTGCAGGGCACTGCCCACACACACACGGCTCTGTGGCCACTGGTCACTGCCTGGAGAACACCAAGAGCTGAATTTGCTTTCCTGCATGGCCCCAACCCCAGGGTGCAGTGAGGGCTTTTCCCCTGGCAGGCAGCATGAATCAACTTTGATTTAAGGCTTCAGTCTCAGATCCAAACTGCAGCACCGAACCCCCTTGCACAGCCTCCAGGACTCAGCACAGCTAATTGCCCCATGTTCCTTCCCAACCCTTACCAAGAAAACACCCCTCTGAGCCGGTACCCCACACAGCTTAACCTTCTCACATGCACAGCAGCTCAGCATCAGGGTGCTTTTTCCAAGAGAAATTAATGAAAACCTCCGTAGGGATCAAAATACACTGAAAAAATAGAACCTGGCTTCTGTAGCAATTCTCCTCCATTCTTCTCTGATGCCAGGGGTGTTGGTTTAACCCCCTCTCGGGGCACAGAAAGCCTGTCTGTTCGAGGCAATTATCGCTGTGTACCGTGGCATGGTGATGTTCAGTGCTGCAAATTCAGCTTCCCAAACACGCATTTAATTTAAGATCTAATACTGGATGTTAATTGTATAGTGCACAGTAAACGACTGATCATTAAAACATATTAATTGAGGTTTAACAACTGTGTAATAGATATTACATCTCATACTTATCAGCAAATATGATTTAATAATCAGTTTAGATGGGGTGTATGGATGGGAGATGTAGCATGGGTGGATAGATTGTGGTTGTTCTTTGTTCGTTTGCTGACCCCTAAAGATACTTTTCCCTATGGTTGGAGAGGAGCTGAGCAATCACCAGGCAAATCATAGAATCATAGAATGGCTGGGTTTGGAAGAGACCTTAAAGACCATCTTGTTCCAACCCCCTGCCATGGGCAGGGACACCTTCCACTAGACCAGGCTGCTCCAAGCCCAGTCCAACCTGACCTTGGACAGTTCCAGGGATGGGGATGTTGAGCTTCAATGTTCTCACCTGGGCAAGTTCCAAAGGGTTTATAATCTCTATAAGAGGAGAAATGAAGGAGTCATGAGTAGTTTCTCCTGTAAAGCTGGAGCTGAACTGCAGGGACCTTTACCCTTGACTGTGTTTGCACGACTCAAAATTTGCTCATGAGCTCACTGCTCCTCATCCCCACCGTGGCCCCACTCACTGAAGCACAGAGCAGGAGGTTGCCTTGCTGCACTGCATGGCTGTTCAGAGACCCAACAACTCATTGTAGCAATGAGCTGAATTTGTGATCCCACCGTTCCAGCAAAAACACAGTGCTGGCTTAACCCACCATGCTACCAAACCACATGCTGTGACATCAAAGGTTATGAAATCTGTGATGTGCACTCTGACCTTTTATTTTTCCCCTTACCCAAAGGAAAGGAAGGGCTTGATTTCAATAGGATCAAGCCTTCCTAGTGCTTTCACTGCCAAACAGACCCCTGCAGCACAGCATATATTGCTGACACACTCAGCAGCCGGCTCAGCACCAGCACAGCCCCGAGGTGT